TCTGCCAGACATTGTGCTCACAGGCCGGAGAGGGTTTCCTGCTGTCGGCGGCTGTTTGGCTCAGGTCTGTGCGTAAAAGAGCACTTTGACCAATGCAAGCTGAACACAAACACGCATCGCCGGTGGAGCATTGCTAGCTCATATGTGTTACGATACATCTTACAGGAAGGATTCCCGGAGCGCCTCCATGGGAAATTCGAGGGCATTGAGCCCTGAGAGGCGCGCTTGGGAGATGTCCTCGAAGTGGCAGGTTGTTTGTCCCAGGCTGAAAAGTGCTGAGTGCAAGCAAGCATCACCTGAAAGTGGGCACATAGGCAATCACTCCTCCACCTTGTTTGACCGCCATGGGCTGGCATCGCTTTTGACGCAGGATATAGTTGTTGGCCTGGACACTGCGGCTGTTGTTTGGCAGCCTTGGGGGCGAGCGCAGATCACCTTACAAGAGAGCCTTTGCAGCGCTTGGGGTTCAGAATTCTTGCCACAGGGCTCATTCCTGATTGGTCCAAGGGAGTGCTCAATGCGCAGGGGCCAATTTCGCGGAGGTGTGGCACTCACCTGACTGGGCCTGGAGCTTGGGTTTTCGGGAGAGGCTGAGATTCAGTTGCAGCCTTTCCCAGCGTGGGTTGGTGGCGGAACGGCCACAAGGAGTCGGTCTTCGATGGTTTTCGTGCTTCTTGGCGCTCGCCCTGTTTTTTTGTATTCAAGCGTTTGAAGCAGCTCCTGGAACACACGCGGAGCAGTGGTGGGGCAAGCCCCCGAAGAATCATTTGAGTGTGTCTCCGAATTGGGATTGTTGAGAAAAAAGTAGTGGGCAACCAATTTTGAAGCACACTATGTTTTGCTCAGATGCAGCAATCTTTTAAGCCTAAGAATACCTTGACAACCATATGTCATTGCCGGAGCAGTTTGAGAAGGTGCACCATCCCAACTAGCTGAGGGGGACCTGTTTCCCGGTGCTCTTTGAGGTTTCTGCTTGCAGGTGTCATGCAGGTGGCTTCGAGTGTACATTTTCTTTGCTGTCGAACTTGAGGAAAGCCCAGCCAAGCGTCCGGGCCAAGACGTTGCTGATATACGGAGAGCTTCAGGATGGAGAGGGAAACCTGCGATGGATGAGTTGCTTTATCACGGAATCAGTCACCGCGAACAGGAATGTGCCTCGTGTTGAGGGTGCCCTGCTTGCAGTTGGTTGGCTTGTACAAAGGGAGGACAAAAGGACAACCCACCCCCTTCCCTCCCCCCTCCTTGCTTTTGCCTTTTTTTGGGGGGAGTACCGCTATTTTGAATTTATTGCTCTTGCTCGATGGCTTCACTTTGAGACTTCCTCGCAAGATGCCTATGATGCATCGAAGGCATCTTCGGCTCTTGGCCCGGCGCTTCGGCTCTTTTGGCTCAGCTGGCGGCTCCCGCCGGCGCTCCGTCTTCTCGCGAACAGCTTTCAAAAAGCCCGGCTCGCAGGGCGTGGATAAGACTTGGTCGCATGCATATCGGATCTGGTTACTGTACAGAGTGCAGAGAACAACTATGGAAGACCCAGAGAGAAAGAGAGAGAGAGAGAGAGAAAACGCAGAGATTCTGAGAGGCACTGCTTGAAAGGCAGCAGTGCTCTTTGGCGAGCCGGGGGATTGGAGGGTAGACCCATGCTCTCCGTGGTCTTGGCGTGCTTTGCCGCGGCGGCTGCCGAGGAGGCAGGAAGTGGGCAGCCGACACCAGAGCCAGGCTTTTGTGTGGCTGGAACCAGTGCCACTTCCGTTTCATGGATGAACCCCGTCATTCTTTGGCGAGCCCCTGGCTTTCATTGGAGGGTGTAACAGCCTCGGCAACGTGCTTGTGCCAGCTGCCTTTATGCTCCGTACCGACCCCCGTGGGAAAACAAGAGTGCGCCTGCCTCTTGAGAGGCTCCAAACAAGATGTGCCCGCTTGCTCCAACAACTCAGGACGCTGGCCGGAGGTTTTCTACGACAGGTCCATTGGTTCCAAGCTCTATTCAGGAATCCACGAACCACCTCCTAGGGGGGATAGGCCACCCCCCCCAGCCCTTTTGACTGATCTTACGCAACTCAGCAGCGAACAAGCAATTTACACTCTGCTTAGTCAAAGATCGAACCATGCTTGATGCCGCTGCTGATAATTATGATGATGAAGATGATGAGGATGACACCGCTGCTGCTACTGCTTTCTACTGCTTGCTGCTTATGCTGGTGTGTTGGGTGTGGTGGTGGTGGTGAAAAGGTGATGGCGGCGGTGTGGTGGTTACTATACAAGTGGAGCTTCAACAGCGTGAACTAGATGCCTTGAAGTAAGCACCCTGCCCCCGAGGACGCCGCCTTCTCGTCAGGCAGCTTATGTGGTAATTTCCGTGAAGCGGGCGGACACCGAGTTGTCGATGTGTTTGAACCCGGCCACATCGGCCAGGCATCCGGAGAAACCAACAGCTCACACTTTCAGTTTTTTTTGGTTTAGCCCCCTACGTCCAAAGGCAGCCGCTCCGCCCTGCCCACAGGCGGCCTGTGATGAGGGCGCGCTGAGGCTGCTGCAGCGGCGGGCCACGGCGCTGCCGGGCGGGGACTGCGACCCAGGCCAGGGGCGGCCAGGCGCGGGGATGCCGTGCCTGCCCTGCGGCTCGGATCGGATGGGCTCGAGTGGTTGGTGCGGGAAATGAGAGTCTGCAAAAACCGGCGATTTTGGGGATAGGTCTTGAGTAAACAAGAGCTTCCTGGAGGAAAGCTGTGATTGGCAAGAGATCATGTTATTTCTGTGGGTTCGCTGGCGAGGTTGCAACTTAGTTGCAACACTGTTGATGTGAGCTGTTTCGGCTTCAATTGGCTCATTACAGCCAATTGTAATCATCACAGGCCAGGAATCGTGCATTGGTTCGCTACTTTTGAATCTTCAGGGTCGCAGCAAAAGACAACTCGACGTTTGGTTGACAACAATTGCAACGGCCATGTCAAGCGAAACCTCTGAGGCCACGAGGGCAGCTGGTCGGGTGGCCAGAGCTGTGTGAGCTGCGTGCCGGGCCGCTGGAGTGGCGAGATAGGCGCCACGGACGCGGCGACGTGCGCGGAGTGCCCGGAAGGGACCTGGAGCAGCCAGGCACGCGGTCGTTCTCCGGTCGCCCCGTTTTGCGGAACCTCCCCTCTGTTTTGCACTGAGTCATAGTCTTGTGAATTACTGGGAGGCGATATGTTTTGGCAGAAGCGGGTTAAGGGGCAAGGAGCAAGTTTTGGCTTTAGCGCCTTGGCAGGTCGGGGCCACAGCGCAGGAGGCGGGGGGCTGGTGGGACGGGCTGCTTCTTTGTTTGGCAGTGCTTGGTAGTGACGTATCAGTATCGCTCAGGTGAGTGCAACCTTTTTGTTTCGAACAGGTTCGTTCTTCTTGACATTGGTGAGAACCAGTGGAAGGAGTGGAAAGCCACGACCCCTTGACCCGCTTTGGCAGCGACCCTCTTTGGCGGACCAGTTGTGCTGCAACCCCGAATGAGCCAACAGGCAGCTGCTGAAGCGACAGGTGATAAATCGACGTGGCAAGCTGCAATGTTGTGGTTGGCAGTTTCAATCGGGGATTGAAGCAGCCGGCAACACCTGGAGCGTTACATGTTCAGCTAAAAGACGTCAGTCTATCCCCATGCCCGCCTTCCAAAGAAAGCCTGCATCCATCGAGGTTGTTTGCAGGCAGCAAGACCTGAAGGGAGTGGTGACACCCATCTTTCTGCTGGTCTTCCTTTTACTCTCCAGATCCATGCACTTCATTTAACGGCCCAGAAGACTACCAGACGCTCTGGTTTCAGCCGGCCGATGGCCCAAGCCGGGTGTGGCATCGCCTGCTTCGCCTTCGGCTGACCCATCGGACCCGAAGCTCTGCGCCGTGCGGCGCGCGAGGCCTGCATGCCCTGCCCCGCGGGGCGCTGGAGCAACGGCTCGGGCCTGGGCTCCGTGGGCGAATGCAGCGACTGCCCGGCGGGCCGCTGGAGCGATGCGGAGGGCGCCACGAGCCTGGAGACGTGCGGCCCGGCAGGCTGTGATTTTCTCGGCTTCGCCCGGCACATCTTGCCGGCTTCGGTCATGTACTCGTATTTTGGCTCCTAACTCACTTTCTTCTTCAATCTTGTAGCTTGCCCCAGGGCAAGTCGCTGTTGACTGCAGCACGGTCCCTTCACAAACGGCGGCATGGATTCCTAGCCTTTGTGTGGGGTGGCAGTACTTTTTGAGGTTGTTTGGCGGTCCAACTAAGCACACCCAGCAATCTTTGAGGACAACCTATTTGATTTGGGTTACCTGAGTGGGTGTTTCGCATGGAAGGGGACCCAAACTGCGAGCATGGAACAAGTTTAGATGTTTTGCACTTCGGACATGTCAGGGATGCGTCGTACTGACCTCACTAAGGGGCTAGATGACCTAACTGTGATGAAATTATCCACTCTCGAGCCAAGGCACGCTCTGCCCGGCGGGCAAGTGGAGCCAAGTGAGTCTTGGAGGGATGCGACCCAGGGTGGTTGGAGGCATTTGTACGGAGCTTATCAAGTACTTGTAAGGCATCATTATCATTGTGTCCTGAGTGCAGAGGTTGGATGCACGCCAATGGACTTTGGTTGGCCTCTGCGCAATTGGCAAACACTTTGGTGGCCATCAGGCGACGGCGCGTCAGGTCCACGCAGAAAGGTGGAAGGTGAGCCAATCGGGAAACTCCGCCTGGCCTTTTCCAGAACTCTGAATACGTCTCTCTTCGGAGATTCTGTCGCAACTCTGCGTGGACCAATCATTCGAGTTGTGACATTCCATGCCTACCAAAATGGATGTCTGTTTTGAAGTACAGCTCGATTGCGCCGCTGTGTCAGGCAGAGGGCGCGTTCCTGGCCCGACCTCACATGCTTGCACTTGCAAACGTTAAGAACGGGCAGGATGTGCCAGAGCGAGGCTGACCGGTTGCCAGATTAGTTTGAGAGACCTGGATGCTTCTCAAAGTCGGGGACCCATCAACCACTTGGAAAGCAACGAACGCATTCTTTGAGAATTTCATGGATTTCTGGTTGCCAAAATCTCCTTAGCCAGTGATTGGATCCTGTATGATTTTGACATGTTCATCATAGCGGCGCAGGGATTCGCTAATTTGACTTCCTTTGCGCTTGAGATCATTTGACCAAGCAGCTATGTCCGATGTGCAGAATTGCCACCAGCCCCAAAGCGTCGTGCTGAGGAAGGGCGCCCAGAAGGACCTTTGCTCCGATTGCACGGCCGGGCGCTTTGGCACCCAGGCGCTTCGTTCGGTCTTCCGATCTCAGGTAGGGGTTGGCTTGGGGCACATTGGATATGAGTATGTCAGCAGCGCGTCGCTGTGTGTGTGTGTGTGTGTGCCGAGTTACGCATAAAATCCCTACCACCCATGTTTGCGGGCGCGCGCAGCATTGTGACCATGGGACAGTGTTGGACGTACATTTTGTCGTGTTGCTTTTGTTGCTGCTTCTTTGTCGATCCGGGTTGGGATGTGTTGACGCTGTTTGCGTTTCGTCAGCCAAGTCCAGCTACGTCAGCTTGACCGTGAGCCAGCACGCTTCAGGCAACCGTTTGTGAACCCACTCGGAGATTTGAAATTGAATCCTTTTCATTCGAACTGTTGGCTTTTACTCTTTTTCTCCACATATATTTTTAAATGTGTGTGCGTGTGCGCGTGTGTGCGTGTGTTCGTGCGTAGGTTCATAACGTGTACGTATATATATATATATATGTATCTTTGAATCTGGGCATGTCAACCAACAGGTCTAGAAACACAGCAACACACTAGCGGCCAAGCTGTCTATACCTGCAAAAGGAGTATGCTCCAGCAATTTCTAGATGCCTCATGGCAACATATTGAGTCCAAGGATGTTTTTGATTCGGACCTTGGGGTTCGCCCTGGACCATTACTCCATTTTGGCTTGTTTCAGAGAAGCTACTGTTGTTTTGTAGGTATGTCATGTTGCGTTGACAGGTGATCCCAAAGTGTCATGGACACATCCTTGAGGCGGGCGCTCCAGCGCTGGCGTCCTGCGCTCTGTGCCCCCGTGGCACTTACAGCGACATCATAGGCCCCACAGCTGGATTCGCGTTGCGGCTTGGTGTGATGTGCCTCTTGCATACCTTTTGTGCAAGAAGTACATACCCCAGGGAGAACAAGCAATCACACTCACATCAAGACATGCCTTGCAGCATTCAGGCCCTGTTTGGTCAGGCTGACTTTGGGCACCAGTCAACTTCTGTAGATCCCTGACGGGAGCCACTGGAAGCTCCTTGATCCTTGGATGCTGATTCTCACTGCGTGCCGTACCTTCGTTCCTCAGCAAGCCTTTTGGAAATGTCTTTTGAATTCCCCACAGCTTCTCCCATTCCCCACAGCAAGCCTTTTGGATCCTCAAGCCTTTTGGATTCATATCGACTTGAGCCCTTGTCTTCTTTCCATCGATTGAGAGGCGCCAGCGAGGCCGCCCAGTGCCTCCAGTGCCCTGCGGGGAAGATCGGGGAGGGCACGGGCAGCGTGAGCCCGGAGAGCTGCTCCGAGTGCCTCCCTGGCAGGCGGATTCTGGCGGGAAGACCCACCGAAGCTTCCCAGTTGCGGTGGATGGATCCACGATCTACGGGTGCCGTTGGTGATCTTTCCTTTGTGTTTTTTTTTTTTTTGGGGGGGGGAGTTTGTTTTTTGGGGTTGGAGCGGGAGGGGGGGGTGGTTGATCTATTGATTCGCTTCAGGATGTTGGAAGGGAGGGTTTGTGGATGACGCTACATTCCGGTATGAGAACTGACATGTGGTTTGTCCGGACTTGTTTCCGATACTTGCCTTTGACTTTCGATGTTGAGGACTTTCTCTTTTTTGAATCGCTTCCAGGCGAGTGTGTATCGAGAGGAAACGCGCGAGAAGTACAATTACGAGCAACCGAAGCGCTCCGGACCCAATCGCACAAGTTTTGTGCGATTGTCACGTTTGGGCATTCGATGATTTGTTGAATGTTCCGTTTCGTGTTCATTGTTTGGTCGGGCTCCGTTCTGCTTAGTGTGCGGCAACTTAGCAAATTTGTGGTTGTTTCTTCAATTACTTCGGAGAATCGGCGCACGCTATGCAAAGAATGCCAGCGGCGCTGACCGGGCCCAAGCTCGTGTCAGGTAGATTTGCTGGCTGCCCATCTTTTGCTTTGAACACCACCGGAACCTAGGTCCCCCAGTATTGCCCTTTTACCCCCTTTTTTGGGGGAGGATTCCCTCTACTAAAATAGACTACAGAAAAAAAAACAAAAAACAACAGGTACCCTTGTGCTAACCCCTCTACTGGAGGACCTAGTAACAGTTGGCTTTGGACCACGAAGGCATGTTGCACGGCCCATTTCGAGCCAGGTGGAGCAGCGTCGTCGGGGCCGGCTTCCTGAGCAACTGCACCAAGCGCCGAAGTGGCACGTGCGGATGCAAACTGGTGGCCCGCTTTTGGCGTCCAACTCCTTGATTGCATTCAGCGGGAAGTGGAGCGACGCCTTTTTGTGTGGAAGATGTGACGCTTTATTAGTTCCGAGAAATCCGTGATGTGTTGGACAACCAACATGGCATGTCACCTGGAGTCATCGGGGCAGCGTTGGAGGTTGAGCGGATTGTGTCAGAAATCAAGTCTAGGTTTTGTTTCTTCCACTTTGGGCTTCAACGAGCCCGTGATTGGTGAAGCTTGGGCCCTCACTCCCAAAGCTCCCCGCATTCTCGCTCCAAGGTGCCCGCGCGGCACATACAGCAATGCCACAGGGGCGACAAGCAGCGGCTCCTGTGTGGCATGCCCTGCAGGCACATATCAGCCCATCGAGGCCTGGAAAGGGAATTGACCTTTCACGTCTTGGGTTCTGAGGTGATTTTTTTGGCGCTGAGATTTCAGCGTCAAGAGAGCTGCTCTGACTGAAGGAAGGGACGAGTGAAGAGATTTGATAGGGAAGAGAAGCCCTTCGCGGGGCTCAAAATGATTCCAAGCGAAGCACACGTCGTGGCTCATTTGTTGCAATCTTGTTTGGGAGATTCTCCTTGAAGTCCTTTGCCAGAAAGCGTAACGGCCCAAATTGTTTGATGGCGATGAGTTTCGATGGTTGAACCTCTTTGTCAAAGACTGATGTCTCCAAAGGAACCTGTTGACATGGGCCGTTTCCCTCTTCCCCTTTTAGCCGCAGGGCTCGGCTTCCCTTCTTTCCACGCCTCGCCTTTTTTCAGGCGGCGGCGGAGTCGGGGCTGTGCGTGCCCTGCGCGGTCGGCAACTTCTCGGCGAGCATTGGCGCGTCCAGCTGCGAGCGCTGCCCGGAAGGAGGGGCGAAGCCGGATGCTTTGGATGCGTGTTGAGTGCTTCGAATTGAACGGCTTGCGAAGGGGTGGATCTTATCTTCTGAATGGAGCGACCGAGTTTGATCAAGCCCTTGAGGGTTCTGCCAATTCGGATGGATGAATGAGTTACACTGCCGGAAGTTCCTGGAGCCTTTGCATTGCTCCAAAACCACTTGCCATTTTGCTTGTTGTCAATCCAATATTCAGAGGGCACAGCGCAGAACCGAACCATCTGGAAGTTGAGTTGCCTAAATCGTTGTGGCCTGTGGAGGTGGGATTTAAAGGAAGCCAGCATCTTGCAAAATCAGAACCACGGTGTAAGTGCAACCTCGGCTTAGCCTTCCTGGCGACATAGCATCATTTTGGCTCTGTACCTGAAAGCAATTGTCAAGTCACGCTTGACATGAGGCTGTCTGCCCGGACCCCGGTTTGTTTCTCAAAGAGCGCTTTGTCCTGATCAACTGACACTGGGCCGGGAGCATGTGCAGTGTATACGTTGCATGGATGATGCCGACCACAGGCCAATGTGTGTTGAATATGCTCATTTGCTTGGGGACTTCAGCACAATATCTGAATTCAAGGTGGTGTTCAGTTGGCGATGCCCATTCTACCTGTTGAAGTTGGCCAAACACATTTGGTTGTGGAAGAGGGGAGCCCTGGTAGGGGCCGTTTCGTGCCGTTTCATTAAGCTATGTTGCAACTTGACGTTGGGTCGGCAGCTTGTGCTCGCCTCGGAGAGGCACATGGGGCAGCCTCTTGTCTGCAAAAGTGCGAGGGAGGTTGACATCTCTGTAGGTCGAGGAGGTCCGGCCGTGGCTGACGTTTGGAAACCCCGGGAGTTTGTGTGGGCTGTTCTTCTTCTCCAGCCCGACGTTGCAAGGGCAGGCCTTGCTGATGCTTCGTTTCAGCCCTTCATTGATTCATCTCAGATATTCCGCAGGTTTCTGAGAGTCAGGTCAGCGATCTCAATTGTGGAATGAGGCGACCCCCCCAGTCTCACGAGGATTCTTGAAAGATTTGCACTCTCCATTTGGTGGACTAAAGTGGTAGTCTGGAGGATGAACCCCACCTTCTTGGTTGGCCGACCTCCACGTGGTTCTGTTGTGCGTCGGTGTGCCAGAAATGGCATGGGGCAAGCCTCAGGACATGCGGGATGGGGCTGTTTGCGGGATTGTGAAGGCCATCGTGCCCCATCCGATCATTACCCCCCCTCCCCCACTTCTCCCTTTTTGCGGACGCCCCGAAACTGCTGTGCCACGTTTTCCTTTCCTTGTCCGGTTAAACATCATTTTCTGGTGTATGGGTCACATTTCGGGTGGAATCGGTGTGTCAGTGTCCTCTTGCCAAAAGGCTTGGGTGGAAATATGAGACTGGGCAAATAAGCCGCCCCGTTTTTCCCTACCAAAAAACCCAGTTGCGAACCAGCTTGGCCTGCTGACTCTCCAGTTCCCTTCCGTGTTTCCACCAGCCACCAGTGGTGGACCCGAGATGGCTTCGCCTTCACCGCCTGCCACGCCTGTCCGGAGGGCACCTGGACGAACGGTCCAGGCGCGGGCCGCTGGGCTGGGGCCGCTTGTGCGAAACGGAAAAGGTCCCATACGTCGAAAGACCGCCCTCTGGGTGTGGGTCAAAATGAAACGAAACCACCAGGAAACCGCAGGTTTGAGTCCTTGGCTCCTTGGCTCCAGGGTTTCAGTTGGGGTGCCTATTTTTGACCCACAGCCAGCTGATTTGAGGCTTGGGAACCTGAGACCGGAAGATCTGGAGGTTTTGAGGCTTGAGAGATCAAGCCTTATGGAACTTGCTTCACATGTTGCATTGACCGTTGGTTTCGAAAGGGAAACACGAGCAAACACCTCCAGACTCGAAGGGCTGCCTTTGTTTGTGCCGTGATCTTGGAGCAAGGGGCAACTCTGCAAGGCCCTGGCCAAATCTGGGCAAACCAAAAATTATATGCACCAGTCAGACTGTTGAGGCACCCGCTTTTTTTTCTGGACACAATCGGGTTTGGGCAACGTTGGTACCACATATGCCTTGCAAACATGAGTTTGCTGTACTAGCTGCGATTTGAACCGGTTTAGACAGTTGCGTTGGCCACGCCTGGACACGTGCCGCGGTTTGCAAGATGTTGATTGCAACTAAACAAGGCTTTAAACCACAAGCCCGGTTTGAGTTTGCAGAATGTGGCAGCGGCAAGACTTGTGGGCAGGATGCATCCATCAGAAATTCCAATTGGTATGGCTTCACTGGTTCAGCTATCATACGTTGAATTGCGTGAAACTTCGGCCATGGTTCACTTGCAGGCTCTTTTTGCGAGCAAGCCCTGTGCAGGTGCGATCCGGAGCGACCTTTGCAACAGCAGCATCGTACCGCCAACCACCACCACCACAACCACAACCACCACGACTACGACGACCACAAGTACAACGACCAACACAACCACAGCTGCAGCGACGAGCTCTGCAGCTACCGAGACTGAGACTACAAGCGCAGCCAACGAGAGCAGCAGCGTTGCTGCTACGGAAAGCACCACCGAAAGTGCGGCAGAAAGCGACACCGAAAGCACCACAGAAAGCATCATAGAAAGCACCACAGAAAGCACCACAGAAAGCACCACGGTCGGAGCCTCAGCCGAGTACATCTCAGCAGTGTCAGAAAGACCATTTTTGACCCAACGCGAATACGTGACGGTCTGAATTGTGACGGTTGCAACAATAGCCAGGATGACGAAGGGAACATGAAGGTGATGCTGGCCCGTCATTGACAGTGAAGCACCCTCGTTCCTTGCAAGGATTAACCGCTTTGCCACATGATCAAGTATTCGGACATGACTCTGAGAGTTCCAAGCCGCGCATGGCTTGTCTAAAATAACCTGAGAAGACCCGTCCAAACAGCCTGGTTCGACACTGAGATGTTGTTCAGAAGGTAGCTTTCTGGTGGTCTGCGGGAGGGAATGATGTGGGGGGGGGGGCGCATCGGAGAGAGCGGGAGGGACAGAAACGTGAAGCATAGTGAGCTGAGGCCGCCCCTCAGCTGGCATCTCAGAGGGTTTTTTGCTCCGGTCGATGTGCCTCGAAACACCTGGCTGGGTAGCTACCGGCCAGGCCTGACGTGGCTGTACAAAAGTCCGTATGTGTCAAAACTGGTGGGACCTTTGTTGGATTCCTTTTGAGCGGACCGTGAAAGGACACCTGAAACATATACCGCGGTTTGGACACCTCGCCACATCGCGGACTTCCCCATCCCCCAACATTCTCCGATATGTTCGGGGCTTTGCCCTGGCCAAGAAATTTCGGTGAGGTGCTCCCGTGTCTTCGAGCGCTGCGGGGGTACTGCAAAGGGAGGCCCGGCGGTCGGATCTGGCATGATATGGTTTGCCAAGACTTTCGGGGCAATTTTGCGCCATGGGATTGAGCCTACAGAGAGAGAGAGAGAACAAATAGAAACAAGGCTACCAAGCATGTATCATGGGGCTGGCGAGTTGAGCTCCCAGTTGCAGTCCTGAATCTGGTAAAGGGAAGCTCGTTTACATTCCTGCTTTCGAGTTGTGCGCTTGACTTTTAATTGATGACTTCTCAATTCCCTCGCCCCTTGGCTGAGATCTGAATTCGCAAGCTTGCTTTTTCAGGGCCATACACCCTTGAGGTCGCGCAATTTCATGGGGGTAGGGTTCCAAGTGAACTCGCCGAAAGGATTATCCTGTATGGGTGGTCTCCTTGCTATATTTGTTGTCATGAGTTGTCTGCTTTCCTAGGCGGGGCGGATCTCTTTCCCGGTCGGGGTCACTTGGGAATGAGCCTTGGTCACCTCCAACCGGCAAGGTTGTATTTTTTGGAAGGTGGCCTCTTGAGCTAGGGCTCCGGATTTTCAGGCTCACCTCAATGCAAGTGGGGAACAATCTGATCTTTCCCAATAGCTCGCCATTTGCGTCTTGGCAACATTTGGAGAATCAAGGGTTTTCTTATCCCCGCGCGAGGATGGGATGGCCCCACCTGCTGCGAGCGGGGCTCCTTTTGCGACGACCGACGGGAGGAGTATTGGCAGCTCGGAGGAACGCAGAGTCAGGGTCATGGTGAAAACTGGGCCGACAACAAAATATGGTTCCAAAATCACTCAGGGCTGTCTTTCAGGCCCTTTGTTGACATCTGGAAGTCGATGACCATTTTTCAGTTGTCACTTTATGGCTTTTTTACCTGGCCAACAGAACTGACATGCTGTATTCATCAAAGCTGCCATTTCGCGTTGGAGAAGCAGCCACTGTGTTCCTGGGGAGGAAGCCTCGGCGACGCTTGGTGCGGCAGCCTCTAGCTGTAGCTCACTTATCCCTGAAGTGTGCGCCACACTTCAGCCACGTTCTCTTTTTGAGCCGAGGGGCAAACTGCGCGAAGATCCCGATCAAAGAAACCACACACACACACAGCCGCACTCGCACGCGCTACGTTTCGACCATGGAACAACTGTTTCTTCCTTTCGTACGGCACTAAGATGTATACTGGCAGTACTGCAAGGACGAGTTCTGTTTTCTGGCTCGACGCGCGTGTGAGATGCTTGACTAGAACTTTCAGGAGTTCTTCCAGCCCCGATGCGATGCCTCTGGTTCTTGGTCTCCTGCGATGTTCAGCTCCCAATTTGCTGAGGCAGTGCCTCCCGGCGAAGACCGACAACGATTGTCGCTGGGCATAGACTCGAGCTAGACCCCCGTACTCGGCCTGGGGAGCAGAAGGTGTACCGCGATTTTGCAGGGGCTCCGTTTTTCATCGTCAACGGCACTTGTCAGGTCTTCAACACATTTTGTGTTGATAGCTTCCAGTTTCCCACGGCCACTAGCCAACTGGGAGCTCGAGGCAACTGTCTTTTCCCCTCAACATCCACCTTTTGGCCACTTGCCATAGGAACCCTGGCATAAGCTGTTGGGTATTGAACAGTGTGCAGACCAATCCAAACCTGTTGTATTTGATTCACCTGCATTTTGGGCTGACGCGAATCTGCGCAACCATCCCTACCCTGCCGCATAAGACAACACACAGTAACTCTCATTTTAAATTTATCTCTAAATGAGGGACCCCCCAAATCGGGTAGTTCGGCCTTTGCAGACCACGGGTCATACGGCTCAGGATCCGGGGATTAACAGCACCTTATTTGGAGCCTTCTGCTCATTTCAGGAGGGCAAACTCGCAGGTGCAGGGGTCAACAAAGCAGACAGCGAGGGATTGTAGGGAACCATTTGCATCGCTTCATTCTCTCCCAACGTTTGTCGATTTTCACATCTTTTCAAGCAAAACCCAGGACACAGGTGGGTCGAGTGGGATGTCTAAGCACCGGCCCAGGCGTCGGGTTGGGGGAGCAATGCGGGGGCTTCCACTACTACGGACCCACTGAGTGCTGCCTTGCCTCCAAGAAATGCGGCGTGGCCGAAGGGGCCTGGAGGGGTGGGGTGGGGGGGTGGGGGGCTGGGTTTGTGCCAGTGAGGTGTTTCAAGGGAAAAGGGGCTAGGGAACGGTTTTGGGGTATACCGATTCACTTGTCACATTCTCGCATGATGTGCCGTTTAGCACGTATTGCTGAGTGGGTGAAGATGCCGCTTGCCGGGAACCCAACAAGGGCCAAGAGACATGAGCGTGATAATCAGGTGTGGCTGATGACAGCTGGTCCAGATTCGAGAGCATCTGAAATCAATCTTGGGAATCCAAGGTGTGGAGAAGAGCGAGTACTACTCGGTCTGCGAGTGAGCTCAGGCGCGGGCAGTTTTTTCTCGAATTAGCCGTACTGGTTGTCTGGCGACAGGATGTTTGACGTATTTTCAATCTGCAGCGTTCAAAGTGACAAAACCAATGTGCAGCGTTCCAGAACCTATGCGCGATGGAAACTAGCACTTGTAAGGGAATATGGTCTTGCTTTTCTGGGTTGCGCAAGGTTTCGCGAAGGGCTGGGCCATTCTTTGTTGTCGCTCGCGGAAGGTGTAAGTCGTAGTCGTAACTGGTTGCCAACGAGTGCAGAATCGAACTGAAGCCTCTTTTTTTTTCCGCGGAAGCACTGCGCAAGCGGTTGCTGTCTATGCAGTCGCGGAAGCCCGACGAAAGGCCGCGCGGAAGAAGTTCATACAGGGGGTGCCGCTCAATCATTGGGAACCACGGTCAATTGGGCGAATGGCGAAGTTTTTCAGCGTGGCAGCCGATGGTTCTAGAGCCCTGACGATGTTTCGAGGATGGCGGCGAAATCTGTCCTCAAAGATTGAAGGGGCAGTGGAAGTTTCACGGCTTCACTCAGCTCCAAGGTAGTATGCTGCTGCGTTTGCTTCGTTGTCTCGAGTCCCGAAGATCTGGCAGGAACTAGGACTTGATGTTGACGTTGTTTGCTCCATCATTTGCAGTCTGGAGACTTTCGGCTTGCCAGGCAACATCTGCGCTACCTTCCTTGGAAGCGCGGAGCGCCTCGCGCCGCGCGAGAAGCCGTGACGCGCAAACCCGGGGGCGGTCTCACCTTGCATCGGGCCCCTTGCAAATCAGCTGAAAAGACGTGCCACAGCCGCAGTTCGATTTTGTACATGACTCCTTCATGTCGATCCTGAGTTGACGGCAATCAACCCAACAAGGAAGCGATACATGTCCTTTGCAGACCATGTGCAAAAACGGTATCTATGTTTAAGGGTCTGAAATATTTGGGCCAGTAGGGCCCATTCAGCATAGAGTTTTACTTTCAGACCTGCGAATAGACATGGACGTAAAGAACCAGTTCAGGGTGCCGCCGATAGATTTGGATCCAATTTTGACCTCCTTGACGCGTTGGATGTGGATGTCCTTTCCAAACCATGTGATCTTGGATGTTTCCTTTCACAGTAGAGCCAGACAGATTCTTTCCCACTCGGTTTCACCGCAGAACGAAACTGGAACTCCTTTGCTCCCCATGGGCTTCAATGGAATGTATGCTAGGTCCTTTTTCGTTGCCAGGACTCTCAGAGCGTTTTTTCTTTTTTTTTTTTTTTCCTTTTTTTTCACTTCCTGTTCTAAGGGTCAGGTGTGCCCCATGCTGGGCAGCAAGCCGCGACCTCCGTGATGCGTCTCGCCAAAAGCTTCCCGAGGGGCACTTTTGCACGTGGACTTTTGGCTGACAGCTTGCTGACAGAAGTCAGCCATCACGTTGCATTAGAAGCACCGGCTGTTCAAACCGATTCAATTCAACGGGACCAAGACATTAAGCAGTCTCCCGCGTACTTCTTTTGGTTCACTTTGCTGGCAATAGCAAGGGCACCATGAGTTGCAGGTTGCATGAAGAAGCTAGTCACCCCATGGTGCAGGAGTTGGCACGTGCTGAGTCTGCGTGTTTGGCGTTCAAGACGTGTCATCATCACCTCAAGGGAGCGCACCCTCAGGGTGAGATATCACCATCCCGAGTCTATCCCAGTCCACCTTTGACCCGCTCCCTCCGGACTCCGGGTGGTCTGTTTTTTGAATCGAATCGGATCCGATTCATGCCCGTCAGGCGAAAAACCCGTACCCTTCAAACTCAGGGCCCTTCGCATGGGCCCATGGGGACATGGGCCGGTGCACATGTTGCTGGAACCTGCGCCGCGTCTTCGTGGATTGCTGCTGGAGGCAAGCGCATGCCGATGTGCATCGACAGTCTCGCTTGAGAGCCTACAAAATCATTGGCCTAGGGTGCTGCCCCAAAGGAGCCAGAATCAGACACGGGAAGTAAATTCAGTAAATGTGAGTCATTGAGCGGCATTCAAAGGTGGGGCCTGAATGGGCAGGACATCGATGTTCTGGAAAAGTCCTTGGTGGGCTTGTGCGTGTGTGTCGTCTTTGTCGCGGCTGTCTCTGAGCTTGTTCGTTTGTTCTTTTCTTGTGTGTGCTGGTGAAGGAGACATGCTGTTCTTGCCGCGGTGTTTCTATCTATACATTTTCCGTTTCTGCATTTGGTCATTTTGTTGGGCTATTTAGCCATTCACGCATGTGCGTTCTATATTCTGTTACCTAGGGGTAAATCGAGCTTGCTCCTGATGCAGGTCCTTATGCATCCTTTAGTTTAGGTTAATGAAATACAGTAGTTGGTGCAGACTCGCTTCTTCCGTCTCATCTTACTTCTGTTCTCTATCCAGTGATTTGCCTGCCTGCCTGCCTACCTGCCCGCCTGCCTTTCTGCCGGCCGGCCGGCCTGCCTGCCTGCCTGTTTTTGTTTGTCTGTTTGTACATCAATCTTTGTACCTGTCTATCCAATCTAAACCAACCGAGTCTTATCCAATCTCATCAGGCCTCAACTTATCTAGTCAATCTCATTCTAATCCAGCCTGGCCTAAACCAATTTAATGAGTGGCTGAAACACTGTGTGCCGGCTGTTTGAGCCGCTTTCTGCTGGCCCCGGGGGAACCCGTCTTGTGGGAGCGCTTTTTCGAGTTTGGTCGTGGTGCCTGAAAGTTCGGGCACTCTTTTGGGAGGGTAATTTTCCGGACATGCCCTTTGCACTGAGTGGATCACGGCACTCTTTTCTTACATGAACTTGGTTGGACGCCACATGCAAGTGTACTGAATTTGGACTGTGGCTTCGGGGCTTTGGATTTGTGGCTCGTTTCGCACGAGTGCGGTCATCTCATTGAGACCCTTCCATTTTCTTGTGGGGAAGAGGTGCACGCCTTTCCTTCGGCCCTACGGAAGGGGCGAGATACTGTGGATGGACGAAATCCTGCACCGCTTTGGAACCATGAGAAGCCATTGTTTGTTGATATTGACCGTGGAATCATGATGCCAGGGTTTCTTAGGTGGTGCAGGATTTCGTCCATCCACAGTATGTTTGGCCTTTGCCAGAGCCGCAGCCTTTGGAGTGCCCATGGACCAGCGCTGTTTCTTGACTCGTGCGAGGCTTTGCCAAGACGGCGAGGGCTGTGCGAAGCTGCAAACCGCCGCGGAGTATCGATGCCTCTGGTTGGATCCCTACGTCTCCCGCAGGAATGGGTGCGGAAGGTCTCGAGCGCCGTCTTGACATTCGATAGGTCTGGCTGGCAGACAGGAATTAAGGAGAGGATGGGAATTTGACCAATGCCAAATTGAAGAGCTGGACATTTGCGCGTGATGGGGAGAGATATACATTTATATGTATGTAATGTATGTATGTATGTATGTATGTATGTATGTATGTATGTATGTATGTATGTATGTAATGTATGTATGTATGTATGTATGTATGTATGTATGTATGTATGTATGTATGTATGTATGTACGTATGTATGTATGTATGTATGTATGTATGTATGTATGTATGTATGTAATGTATGTATGTATGTATGTATGTATGTATGTATGTAATGTATGTAATGTATGTATGTATGTATGTATGTATGTATGTATGTATGTATGTATGTATGTATGTATGTATGTATGTATGTATGTATGTATGTATGTATGTATGTATGTATGTATGTATGTATGTATGTATGTAATGTAATGTAATGTAATGTAATGTAATGTAATGTAATGTAATGTAATGTAATGTATGTATGTATGTATGTAATGTATGTATGTATGTATGTATGTATGTATGTATGTAATGTATGTGTATGTATGTATGTATGTATGTATGTATGTATGTATGTATGTATGTATGTATGTATGTATGTATGTATGTATGTATGTATGTATGTATGTATGTATGTATGTATGTATGTAATGTATGTATGTATGTATGTATGTATGTATGTATGTATGTATGTATGTATGTATGTATGTATGTATGTATGTATGTATGTATGTATGTATGTATGTATGTATGTATGTATGTATGTATGTATGTATGTATGTATGTAATGTAATGTATGTATGTAATGTAATGTAATGTAATGTAATGTAATGTAATGTAATGTAATGTAATGTATGTATGTATGTATGTAATGTAATGTATGTATGTATGTATGTATGTAATGTATGTATGTATGTATGTATGTATGTATGTATGTATGTATGTATGTATGTATGTATGTATGTATGTATGTATGTATGTATGTATGTAATGTAATGTATGTATGTATGTATGTATGTAATGTAATGTAATGTAATGTAATGTATGTATGTATGTATGTATGTATGTATGTATGTATGTATGTATGTATGTATGTATGTATGTATGTATGTATGTATGTATGTATGTATGTATGTATGTATGTATGTATGTATGTATGTATGTATGTATGTATGTATGTATGTATGTGTATGTATGTATGTATGTATGTATGTATGTATGTATGTATGTATGTATGTATGTATGTATGTATGTATGTATGTATGTATGTATGTATGTATGTATGTATGTATGTATGTATGTATGTATGTATGTATGTATGTATGTATGTATGTATGTATGTATGTATGTATGTATGTATGTATGTATGTAATGTATGTATGTATGTATGTATGTATGTATGTATGTATGTATGTATGTATGTATGTATGTATGTATGTATGTATGTATGTATGTATGTATGTAATGTATGTATGTATGTATGTATGTAATGTATGTATGTATGTATGTATGTATGTATGTATGTATGTATGTATGTAATGTATGTATGTATGTATGTATGTATGTATGTATGTATGTATGTATGTATGTATGTATGTATGTATGTATGTATGTATGTATGTATGTATGTATGTATGTATGTATGTATGTATGTATGTATGTATGTATGTATGTATGTATGTATGTATGTATGTATGTATGTATGTATGTATGTATGTATGTATGTATGTATGTATGTATGTATGTATGTATGTATGTATGTATGTATGTATGTATGTATGTATGTATGTATGTATGTATGTATGTATGTATGTATGTATGTATGTATGTATGTATGTATGTATGTATGTATGTATGTAATGTATGTATGTATGTATGTATGTATGTATGTATGTATGTATGTATGTAATGTAATGTAATGTAATGTAATGTAATGTAATGTAATGTAATGTAATGTAATGTAATGTATGTATGTATGTATGTATGTATGTATGTAATGTATGTATGTATGTATGTATGTATGTATGTATGTATGTATGTATGTATGTATGTATGTATGTATGTATGTATGTATGTATGTATGTATGTATGTATGTATGTATGTATGTATGTATGTATGTATGTATGTATGTATGTATGTATGTATGTATGTATGTATGTATGTATGTATGTATGTATGTATGTATGTATGTATGTATGTATGTATGTATGTATGTATGTATGTATGTATGTAATGTAATGTAATGTAATGTAATGTAATGTAATGTAATGTAATGTATGTAATGTAATGTAATGTAATGTATGTATGTATGTATGTATGTATGTATGTAATGTATGTATGTATGTATGTATGTATGTATGTATGTATGTATGTATGTAATGTATGTATGTATGTATGTATGTATGTATGTATGTATGTATGTATGTATGTATGTATGTATGTATGTATGTATGTATGTATGTATGTATGTATGTATGTATGTATGTATGTATGTATGTATGTATGTATGTGTATGTATGTATGTATGTATGTATGTATGTATGTATGTATGTATGTATGTATGTATGTATGTATGTATGTATGTATGTATGTATGTATGTATGTATGTAATGTATGTATGTATGTATGTATGTATGTATGTATGTATGTATGTATGTATGTATGTATGTATGTATGTATGTATGTATGTATGTATGTATGTATGTATGTATGTATGTATGTATGTATGTATGTATGTATGTATGTATGTATGTATGTATGTATGTATGTATGTATGTAATGTAATGTATGTATGTATGTATGTATGTAATGTATGTAATGTATGTATGTATGTATGTATGTATGTATGTATGTATGTATATGTATGTATGTATGTATGTATGTATGTATGTATGTATGTATGTATGTATGTATGTATGTATGTATGTATGTATGTATGTATGTATGTATGTATGTATGTATGTATGTATGTATGTATGTATGTATGTATGTATGTATGTATGTATGTATGTATGTATGTATGTATGTATGTAAAGTATGTAATATGTAATGTATGTAATGTATGTAATGTATATATGTATGTATGTACGTATGAATGAATGAATGAATTAATGTAATGTATGTAATGTAATGTATGTATTTATGTATGCATGTATGTATGTATGTGTGTAGGTAGGTAGGTAGGTAGGTATGCATGCATGTATGTATGTAATGTATGTATGTATGTATGTATGTAATGTATGTGTGTATGTATGTATGTATGTAATGTATGTATGTATGTATGTATGTAATGTAATGTAATGTAATGTATTGTAATGTAATGTAATGTATTGTAATGTAATGTAATGTAATGTAATGTAATGTTATGTATGTAATGTATGTATGTATGTATGTATGTATGTATGTATGTATGTATGCATGCATGCATGCATGCATGTATGTATGTATGTATGTATGTATGTATGTATGTATGTATGTATGTATGTATGTATGTATGTATGTATGTATTAATGTAATGTAATTTAATGTATGTATGTATGTAATGTAATTTAATATGTAATGTAATGTAATGTAATGTAATGTACTGTATGTATGTATGTATGTATGTATATTTGTGTACATATATATATATATATACATACACATGTAGATCCCAAAAAGCTTCCCCGCCCTCCGATTTTTGCCTACAGGGCTAGAGCAAGCTTTTGGAAGCGATTGTGAGCTGGTGACGACGTCTTTGAGGACTAGTCTTTGAGGACTAGCCCTTTCCCCACCCTTGCCAAGGCCTTGTCAAGGCCTGCCCATGACCCAGCCCCTGGCAGAGCAAATTGGTCAAACCGACTTAGGTCCCTTCAAATGGCTTCGGCGCTGCTTTCCGACCGTCCAAGAGGCTTCTCTAACCACTCACCAAGGTAGCCCAAAGAAGTAAGGCAGGATTGCCCAGACAAACTTGTTCATGAACAGCGCTCCTTAACTAGCATCCCCTATCAAATTGCCAATTGCACATTGTGCCGTGGCAAAGTGAAGCAGTATGCTTTCCTTTGCAGGGAGCGGCGGTTTCACCACCAGGGGGTTGCCGACCGAACCAGCAATTCAGGATCTGCCTAAGCATCGAACGCTCTAAGAACGGCTCAGGTCCCTTGCACAGCGGAGAAAGCTGCGAACAGAGTGCAATATTTGCATGCGATCTGCAAGACTGGACTCATTGATGCATGCAGGGAATGGTTTCGCTCCTTCCCGAGCCCTGGAGGACAATCGAGTGCTTGCTGGCGGTGGAGGTGGTTGTGACTCTGCTGCTGTGTTGGCCCTTCTACAACTTTGAGGCTCTGGGGGACCTCGGGCTGCCGCCGCCCGGCGAAGAGATGGGGGGATGAAGTGCCTGGGGCCCTCCAAACAGGTTTGACAGCTTTGTTGGTCCGGTTGGCTTGCTTCCTTTTGTGGCAGAGAGGGCTTAGGTATCGCAGCATTGCTTTACATCACGAATGTCATTGCACATCATCCAAAGCAAGACTGCACGTGCAAGTAATCACGCCGATTGTCCTGGTATTCGACTTTTCAGGTTGCGTGGCAGCCACACAATGCATCATCATCTTCAAACATGCCTTTGACTCTTGACATCCAATCAACTACCTGTGTGGGCATGTTCAGAGGCGTCCCTGCTTGCGGGTTGTTGTCGAAATTAGCGATTCTCGGTTAGGACCCGTTTACAGGTGGGTCAAAGGTGGGCCAACATAACCTCCCAGTTCCATTGCCCACTTCTTTGAGGGGTGGGCGGGAGCTGATTCTCTTCCTGCTGGTCCTGCGGATTGTCTCGGACCTGGCGGGCGGCCTTGGGGTCTTGCGCCGGGAGGTGACAACAGTGAAGCGCCTCTACTGCATGCAGGCCGGGCCCTGGGCAAATCGGAGTTCGAATCGAATCGCGACGCGCGCGCGCGTGTGCTCGTTTGGGGTGAGGGATGAGGAGGGATGAGGAGGGCTAGGTGGATTTTTGACAGGTGGAGGTTTGGGGGAGCCTGTTTTGGCGCTGTGGGGGGTGCTCAACATCAACAAGGGGGGTGAAGACATCGCTGCCTCCGAATTGCAACGAGGAAATCAACTGCAAGAACGTCGTCAAGTTATGACCTGTTAAGCCGAAACTGCGACCAGGGGACTGCAGCAAAACTCAAGGCCATGGGGGCGGCGGCTGTAGATTTCTCCTTACCCCAGCATGTTTGGCGTGCTGCATGCGGCACATCAACTTGCCAGGCTTTGAGAACACTGACAACATGTGGCTCCATCAGGGGCAAGGGTTGCTATGTTTATGCATGTTTGCATATTTTTGAGTTACTGTTTGTGTTGTAAACGCTTCGCGCTGCCCGCCTCGGCCAGTATCAAACGGATGCTTTTGGCTGGCTTAGAAGTAGGAGTTTACTGGAGGTTTTGAACGTAGGCAATTCCAATTTGTTTTTGGGGCTATCAGGTTAGAACCTTCTTGTTAGGGGAACTGGAGAAGATGCCGGGCTGGGCGCGGAGCAGCCTGGGGGAGGGCTGCCCGAGCCGGAAAAGCCCTGCCAAAAAGTTGGAGGCAAAACCAGGGAGCTTCCAGGGCTGATGCGAAGGAAAGATCAGCAAAGCCCACTGGGCTTGAGTGAAGCCGGGGCAGCGCCGGAACTCGTGGTTGGGGATGGGGTTGAGGAAGTGCCCGAAGGCCGGGGCGAAATTTGGATGTAGGGGCAGTGTAATCCTTATCCATCAATTGGTATGGCCATGGGGCTATGGCTCCATTTTGGGGTGGATGAACATCCATTTGCCACCTATGTTGATGTTCACGGGTTTTGACCCACAGCCGTATATCGCTGCTGAATCACACGACGATTCTGCTGTACCAGCTCGGCTTCAGGCGACGAACCTTCTGTTCAGCTTTGTGGTGCTGCAGCCGCTGCTCCTCTGCCAGTGCGCTTGTTTCGAGCCAGCCATGGGGCGCGTGGCGAGCCTCGGCAGGATTCGCGCGCGCGCGCCCCTGAAGCTGCATGTCTTTGACGTTTGGCACATGGCCATGGGTCAAAAGCCCGTACCCCCAATGAACATCCCAATCCCCACTAAAATAGACTAAAATGGGTGGTGCACCTACCCCAAAATGGTACCATTGGTTTTGACCCACAGCCACATCGGCGAACACAGCAGTTGGTACAAGGGGCGGGCTGGGACAACAGCATAGTCAGCGCACATGTGGACAGCCAGTGAAGATTGACTCTTGCTTGTGGCGCGGCTTCAAAGGGCAACAACCTACAGAGCAGCATCGTGTAGGTAGCATATTTGGCAAGCCATGTGGACGATGATACTTGTTTGGAACATCAGATTCTCGATGCCTTACGTGTGCAACAGGCTGCCTCCGAGGATCCAATTGCAGGTTGCACACAGACACAGAGACTGGCTCATCCTTCCTTTCATTTGCACCTGGGATGCGGAGGTCGCAGCAGTCCGTGGACCGGCTGCGGCAGCAGTGCGAGGTGTGGCATAACTTCCTGGAGGCCCCGGTGGATGGGAGCTTCTCCGTACTGCGTTTTTTTCAGTCCGGAGCTGCGCGGTTGTCGTTGAATCCCTGAAGGTGTCAGGTTCCCATTGAAAGGAATCCGGCATCCTCACTCAAGGACTCTCCCGGACAAATGAGAGGGGAGTGGGGGTTGGGGGCACAGGATTCAATGCTATCCGCTTTTGGATCGTGGGATGACGGCTTCCTCCTTCTCTGTCTGAACCCTTGTTTGAACAGGACTCTGAAACGTAGCACTATTAAAAAAAAGTCCAAGAGAATATGGGACTTTGCACTACCACAGTTTCAGCATTGCTTGCCCCACCAAACTGCGTATGAGCGGGTTGCGGATTTCCATCCGGGTCACCTGACAGCCTCGACAGCAACAGCCCACGGACGCCAAGCTAGATCGAACATCCGTGTCACCCAGAGCAGGCAGGTAGCTTAGCAACTCGATGTTGCAACCTCACGTGGGTCAACAACAACGTGACTTGTGCAACCACTCCCTGCAATTATGGAATTCTATGGAACTCTATTTGTTCTTTCCAATCAACCACACCCACTGCAAGACACATTTGCTGCCAAATCCTCTGTAGAATGCGTCAAGATTGGCCCTCTGCTGTTTTTTGTTTTTGTTTTTTCCGCTTTCCAAGGACAGAGCATTAGACGGGGAAAACCATGAATGCCCTTGGCAGCCCTGGATGCATTGGCAAAGCCCGGCCGTGGCGACAGGGCCGGGACGCTGTGATGGGCCGGCGGCTCGGGGATGGCGAAAGCAAGGCCCCCGGCAACGCGTGGCCGGCATGGCCCGTGTGCCACTCGGCCAGTGACTGGGGCATGCCAGTGCCTGACCTCTTCAAAGTCTTGGACCAGGCGAGGTGTGGGTCCGTGGATGCGGGGACTCTAAAGGATCGGGCTGCAGTCAAAAGTGATCAAAGGTCTCCAAGGGTCTCGCAGCTGACCGTTCCAGGGGAATTTCTTCAAAATCTTAGTGAGTTTGAGTCTTGGCTCAGATACAGCGACGGCCGCTCATGATGTCAACGGCCGCTCACGCCAGTTGCCGCCAATTTGCTGCCCACAGGCAGCCCCCCTACGAAGCAATCAACTTGCAATCCAGTCTCAAGCGCATCAAGGCCGCTCTTTTTGCCTGTTACTCTTGCTCATGCTTGTGGCTCTCGCGAAGGAGCACCACAACATGAGGCAATGCTTTTGCAGAAAATGGGTTTGCGTCCTCTGCCCGCGTGTAGAACAGAGCCCGCCAATAAAAAAAGCCTACTTATCTTACGAGCTCACGACTTGCTCGGCCTGCGCACGGGCACTCAGAGGGTGAGCAGCGTGTAGCCGCATGTAGGGCTTCAACTGGAATGATGAGCTTACAGGTTGCGGATGGGCCAAACGTCGCTAAATGGCGGGTTGCCAAACCTTTTTGTGGTTGTTGCGCCTTGAGCTCCTTTGCTTTGTGTATGCGTCTTTTTTTGTGGGTCTCTGTCTCTCCAAATTGCAGGTCCCCTTTGCTCGATTTATCAATGGCGAAACACAATAGACCATTAGCTGAAAGCCAAGCTTGGGCAGCTTAAAGCCAGCTCGGCCCACACATGTCTCGCAGATCCGGGGTACTTCAAACTCGCAGGGCGTGAAGTTGGTGTCGGAGCACTCCTCGTGCTTCGAGCTGCCGGTGCAGATGGAGCTGGCCCAGTCGCTGCAGTCTGTGGACCGGAAGCTTTGGGCACAGGGCAAAAAGCGTATAGGCCACGCAAGGGAAGCCGAGGCGGACCCCATATGGCTGTGGCTCAAAAGCACGTACCAACATTGCACCTTGGTATATGGAGAAAAGGACTAAAACCTGCGTAAACCAAGCTGTTTAATCTTGAGCGACACCTATATGTTCCATCCACCTGGTAGTAAGGATCCTTGATACCCATCATAATGATTCCTATTAAGGAAACCATGACCGTAGGCATAATGAGTTTTGACCATGGCTCATATGTTTGTGGCACACCCCACGTTTGAATTGACCTCTCGCTGGTCGCTGGTAGGACTGCCGCATCCTGGACCACTGGGATTGGGCCTCACTGCCCTTCCAGGACTCCACTCCCGGAGTCTGACGGGGCGAGGGATCAACGCCCAGGTTTTGGCTTCTTGAACCCCGTAAACTTTCAGTTGTTATGAATTTTCCGGCTGCAACGAGTCCGATTGGGGCGTTTTTGCTTTGGAGATCGGTGTACGTTCTCAACTCGTTTTTGTTTCACTTGTTCAAAGCCGGCCTTTGGAGTTACCCATTGGTCGTTCAATCATCTCACAAGGTCACGTCCTTTTTCTCCAGGTCGGTCCTTGAACACACCTTGGGGGTCATTTGGAGTTTCGTGCTTGACGTGTTTTGGATGGTGTGCGATCCAAACGGACCAAGCACTTAGGATCCCCATCCATTTGGATGGGATTTGATGTCTTTCGCTCCATACCCATTTGGGTCTGTCTTCGTTTAGGGGACCCCCAAAATGGTGGTTTTCCTCTTGGTTTCCTTTTAACACAGACCAACAAATGGGTCCGCAAAAGCTGTTTTAGAGGCTTGGCACCCTTGGTTTAAGTCGGGAAACCGAAAGGAACACTGAAGCTATTCAGGGGGTTCCAACCATTTAGAGTTTCGCAGAATGGCGGACGCCCTTTGGTTGGTGTTTAAAGGGATCCCAAAACGAAACCGTCACCATTTTTGGGTGACCACTCTTTGGAGGAACCTCAATTGGTGGGAAAACAGAGAAAACCACACAAGCCCACAGGTACCCTCAAAAGAACCTATTTCAGTTCGGGAGACATAGGAAGACCGAAGCCACTTGCGGGGTTCCCTATCCAATCCGGGTCTGTTTTTGTTTGGCTTGGCACCCTTTTTGGGAAGACTAAAGGACGGCTCAACACAGTTGAAACACCCTGTTGTTTTTCGGGGATCTAAATGACTACATGATCTGGATCGCGATTTGGGGTCAAAAAAAAAGTCAGGTCCAGCCCCAGTGGAAGCCAGCGGGGTCCAAGTTCCATGAGGAGCTGGAGCTGCATCTCCAAGAGTGCTTCTCCGCGCGCGGCTGCGGGGGTCTCCGGCTGGAGCTTCTGGCGCCCATCCCTGGCCCGCCCCAGGAGGGCTCCTGCGCCTAGGTCCGATGAATTTGGGAACGGTGCCCGGTTGACTTTTTGGGGGATATGGACGCCAAAGGACCCTGGCCCAAAATTTGTCGTTCAAGGCGTGGCTCGGGAAAAAGATGGAACGCCCTGAGAATGCGCGGTGTGTTGTTTTGCTGGGGCCAGAATCTTCGTTCATCTTTTCATGACGAGCCAGGACGGCCATGTTCTCCTGCACAAGGCGGAACCGGCACATTTATCCCTGCCTCAATCTCTGTCGGCCGTTGCCCTGGCCCTGCGCAGAGCCAGTGGTTTGGGGCCAAACCTAAACCCAGAAGACCCAAACCCAAACCCTAAAAACCTTAAACATAAACACACCCTAACAGCCCTACACCTATACCCGAAAAGGCCCTAAACCTAAACCCTAAACTAAACCCTGGAAACGCTAAACCTAAACTTGTGTGGGAAAGGGTTAAGTGTGACGCATGGATTTTGCGTGGCCCCAGTGCAGAATTACAAAGAAGGGCAGGGTCGTAGGTGTCTTTTCCCGCGGTCGAAGCGGGGTAGGGTCAAATGCAACGGTCAGATAGGGTCGTGCGCAACTGTCGCACCCTCCAAAATTTGGGGTTGCCTAAACAAAGCCAGACTCTGAACACACTATTTTTGGCATACTCCAGATTTGGGCCGAGATACAAAGCTGAGGCGGAAACATGACGGTCTGCAAGCTGCAGCACCCAGTGATGCCTCACCCCCACAGCTTCTCTGGCGAATGTCATCCGGCCAACCGCTGCCCCATTCACCTCCTGGTGTGCCACGGCAAAGAACAAAGGGGGGGCTGCTCCAAAACTTTCGGACTTTGGAAAATGCTCATGTTTTAGACGTTTCCAGTCTAGGCACCATTTTTTGAATTGTGTTTTGCCATATTGTAAGTAGCAATGCTGTACCGGTTGTTCTAGTTGCTGGGAGATGTTGAGGCTGAGGGACGGGGGAGCCGGGCAGCGGAGACGTCCGCGCATGTTGTTCTTTGCTTTCCTTTTCAGCGCATGTTAGAGTAGGCGTTGTCTCACAGTTGGTGACCCTTAGTTGGTTGTTGGTTGGCTGGCTGTCGGGTTGGCTGGTTGTTCGGTTGGTTGGTTGGTTGGGTGGTTGGTTTGTTGGTTGGCTGGTTGGCTGGGCGCTTCGTTGGTTGGATGGTTGGTTGGCTGGCTGGCTGGCTGGCTGCTTGCTTGCTTGCTTGCTTGCTTGCTTGCTTGCTTGCTTGCTTGCTTGCTTGCTTGCTTGCTTGCTTGCTTGCTTGCTTGCTTGCTTGCTTGCTTGCTTGCTTGCTTTTTTGCTTGCTTGCTTGCTTGCTTTGCTTGCTTGCCTGCTTGCTTGGTGGGTTGGTCGGTTGGTTGGTTGCTTGCTTGCTTGCTTGCTTGGCTGGCTGTTGCTTGCTTGCTTACTTGCTTGTTTGCTTGGTTGGTTGGTTGGTTGGTTGCTTGGTTGCTTGTTTGGTCGGTTGGTCGGTTGGTTGGTTGCTTGGTTGCTTGGTTGGTTGCTTGCTTGATTGCTTGGTTGTTTGTCGGGCAGGTGATTGGTTGTTTGGTTGTTTGGTTGTTTGGTTGTTTGGTTGTTTGGTTGCCAGGTTGCTTGGTTGGTTGGTTGGTTGGTTGCTTGCTTGCTTGCTTGCTTGCTTGCTTGCTTGCTTGCTTGGTTTCTTGCTTGGTTTCTTGCTTGGTTGGTTCGTTGGTTGGTTGGTTGGCTGGTTGGTTGGCTGGTTGACTGGTTCGTTGGCTGGGCGGTTCGTTGGTTGGATGGTTGGTTGGTTGGATGGCTGGCCTGGCTGGCTGTTTGCTTGCTTGCTTGCTGGCTCGCTCCGTCGGTCGGTCGGTTTGTTTGTTGGTTGGTTGGTTGCTTGCTTGCTTTCTTGCTTGCTTGCTTGCTTGCTTGCTTGCTTGGTTTCTTGCTTGGTTGGTTGGTTGGTTGGTTGGTTGGTTGGTTGGTCGGTCGGTTGGTTGGTTGGTTGTTTGGTTGCTTGGTTGCCTGGTTGCTTGCCTTCTCGCTTGCTTGATTGCTTGGGCAGGTGATTGGTTGTTTGGTTGGTTGGTTGCTTGGTTGCTTGCTTGGTTGTTTGTTTGCTTGTTTGTTTGCGTGGTTCTTGCTCGCTTGCTTGCTTGGTTGCTTGCTTGCTTGCTTGCTTGCTTGCTTGCTTGCTTGCTTGCTTGCTTGCTTGCTTGCTTGCTCGTTTGCTCGTTTGCTGCTTGCTTGGTTGGCTGGTTGGTTGGTCGGTCAGTCGGTGGGTCGGTCGGTTGGTTGGTTGCATTTTGGTTGTCTCAACTGCCACCTTTATGCAAAAGGGGGTTTGCACTTGCAACTGTTTGGCGTGGTCTCCGAGAGAACGGAGAGACTCCCCCATCCCATCCGTGTTTTTTCAGGGGGAGCCCACAGGAAGCAAAAGATGGTGAGGTGCTGCTTTTCGACGCAAGCTGCTGAGCCAGGCTTCGCATGCTTTATCCAAGCAGGCGCTCAGAGGCTTGTTTAGTCGGGGGTGGGGGCTCTGAGGAATCTCCACAAAGACATGGAGAAGTACGAGTGTTTCCGCTTCGGCGAGGAGAACGGTCCCGTGGAGGACGGACGGGTCGGCCAAGTCAAGCTGTTCTCTTGCTTGAAATAGAGAGCTTAGCCGAGGACTAATTCTGGGCTTTCGCCGATATCACGGGCAGAGATTAGGTGATGCTTGTGACCATCGAGCAATTGTCGAAGCCCGAAACTGCTTGCGGAATCGCGGTTGGGATGCGATTCCTGGAATGACATCCAAGCTTTTGGCTTTTAGCCTTGGGCTTTCAGGGCGTAGAGGTGGCAGAACTTTCACCAACTGGTTCTTGACCTTGTTTGTCAGAAAGCTGGTTGCCTGGTGTACACTAAGTGCCGCGTGTTTTTCGACACGCCCGCTTTTGAAAGCCCTGGGCCCTAAGCCGATGGCAGTTGATTCTCCCCTTCTCTTGGTTCGCATATATTATTGCATGGGGACCACGCTTTTGGACCATGTAGGTCTTCCCAAGCAGAGAACCTGAGGTAACATGCTACATGCTCCCTTCTCTGGCCGGCCCTCCTTCTGAGCAGTCTTTCTGTCTGAGCACAAGAGGCGGTGCGGCTGAGGGTTCACCATTCCCTTGTCTTACACATGGCACTTTTCGATCCCTTTGTTGCCTCTAAAGCTGCAGATCGCGTGCAGATGGGTCAATGTGGGCCTTGTCCACCTCTATGCCTAACGCAGAGTTGCGCTGGTGCCTTCACCTTGGCTTGCACCTCTGACTGGTTTCTGGCAAATAATAACTAGAATGGGGTTCTGGTAAGCCTTAAACTAAGTTATGTGATGCTTATTAAGAGAATAACGTGTCCAATACAGCACCTCAAGAGACCGCCCGTGTCCATTGCCGAGTTTCGTCACCGGCGAAAGGAGCGGTGCCTCTTGGTGGTCCGCCGGTCTCTGGCAGCGCTGCTGCTGCTGAACTGCACAGCCCTCTTGTCGGCTGCTGTACCCTGGCCCGCAGTGTCTCCCGTGCCGACGGCGAGAGATCCGGCGCTTCAAGCTGTCGGGGGGTTGCAACTTACCCGGCTGGTTCCTTTCAAGTGCCTGGCTCTGAACTCCGCTTGCCCCATTATTTTGCAAGCAACCTAAGAGGAGGAAGCTTGTGCGAGGAGAAAGTCAGCATGTGAGGGAGAGAGTATGCGAGAGCTTTCTTGGATGCTTGGTAGGTATTGATGACCTTTGACTGTGCTGGTTAGGTACGCATTTTTTTGTGGCTCACGAACAGAGATTTTCCATTCGGTGGTTGGCCTGAAGGCCACTAGATTTGAGCTCTGCCTGGTTTGTTTCGGGAAAGCGTCCGCGCTGCCAATGATATCCAGTCCAATGACTTCAGGTTCAACTCGCCCAGGTGATCCGAAAGTTTCTCCAGCTGAACTGCGGGGACTTCGTCGCAGAGGACGTCCAGTTCGAGGTGGATACCGTCAGCGCGCCTCGGGCCCGTCAAGGGGGGGCTTCTTTGCTTTCCTGACGGCCTCTCATCAGGCAAAGCCAATACCAGCGGGATGTTTCGTCCATTTGGGGCAGGGTTCTGAAAGCCGTTGCCTTTTGGACAGGTCCAACTCGTTCCATAGCCATGCAAGTGGCATGGTGGGTAGAAGTGGTACATGATAGCTTTGGTTTGTCCCCAAGGCCTGAAGCAAGGATTCACACAAGAGTTTGTGCGACGCATGACTGGTAAGTATCCATGAGAAGGATGGTCAAAGCGTGCGTGAGAATCCGTGAAATCAGGATTCGTATTGATTGCAATTTGGTGTGAAGCATGCCACTTCAGCGAGAATTGATCCTTCAGTACATGGATGCCCTCCCGCCCACAAATTCAGATAGTGGCTGTAAGTCAAAGTGATGGACCCCCTCATGGGTGGGCCGATACCAGCTGTGAAGGTTCCCAACCGTCCAAAGATGCGCCGACTTGCCTTACTTTGCTTTGTTTCTCTGGCATCAAGTCGCACGTTCTGGGCCCCGTATCATACAGGCTAGATTTTGCCAGGTGCGCGGTGCGCCTTCCAGGAATGCAAAATGAACACTATCCATGTGGCTCGCCATTCGGCTTGACCTGCCGAAAAAGACAGTATTTTTCTGGTGGCTCAGCCGTCTTCGGATAAGGTGGACATATTCATAAACCTCGTCTTGATTGTTCTGCGTTGTAGCTCGAATTTCCAGTTGTGTTAAATTCAGTCTATCTTAAAGCTATTCAATGCGAGCCGCGAGCCTTATGTTTGTCATGAGTGACATTTCCCCTGAAGGTGTCTAAGGAGGGGAAAGGGTTGCCCTGACCGTCCAAGAGGAAAACAGTTGTCTTTGTATAAGAATATAACATACACATACACACACACACATATGTATATATATATATGTATAGGCATATATGTATAGGCATATGTATATAGGCATATTTGTCTAGGCATATGTATATAGGCATATATGTATATAGGCATATATATATATATAGGCGAATATGTATATATATGTATATATATATGTATATATATATGTATATATATATATAATATATATATATATATGTATATATATATATATACGGAGATCTACACGCGATGGATGACACATGCCTTCCCATGGGATCGAGGAGGCGAGCCGCTCCTTTGCCGGAGACTCCTTCGTGGCGGGCGCCTACAGCACCGGGAGCCCCTCCAGCCGCCGGGGCCGGTCCTTCCGAGGCGTGGGCGGAGTCGTGTGGGCGTAGCTCAGAAATGGACGACGAACCGAGCAGCAGATCCTTTTTTTCCTTTTTTCTTTGGGATGCCGTTGATGAATGAGACTCCTTCAACTTAGACCCTTTTGCGTGGTTTGGATCTATGTGCTGCTGGACGCTCGTTTTGCCCAACCACTTGGAATGAGATGTAAAGGTTGGCAAGCCACAGGGCTCAGGAACGAAAAGCTGGATTCGTAGATGCTTCCCTTGGATGGACAAAGCAGGGTGTGGGAAAATCAGGCCAAGAGTCAGACTTGTTTGTGCCAATTTTGGTGCCTTGCTTTGGGCACGATGGAGCCCAGATCATTCAACCTGAGGGTTTTTTTCGAGGCCTTGCAGGGCCAAGGGCTTTCCTGAGCTGATTTTGACCTGGAGTCAAGGTCGGACCTCCGTCACCTCAGTGGAGCTGGGCCAAAGGGAGGTGCCGCCGCAATGGAACGGTGCGCCTCGGAGAATTCTCGAAAACGGGGGACAGCGGGGGCGCTTGCCATGCAGACTTCGATCGTGGGGCAAAAGGTACAAATTGTCCACGAAGTCGCGTAAGCCTTGGCGCAAGCGAGGTTTTTGATGGCTCGCGGCTGTCCACTGTGCGTTTTAGACCTGAAACACCCCGAGACGCTAAACCATAGACCTTACATCTTAAACAACCTAAACTAAACATCCCCCAAGCCTTCCAAGTGCCTAAACCCTAGAAACCCTTGCCCCGAAAAGACATAAAACCGATTTGATTTTGCTGTGTAGCGGGCGAGGATCTCCTCAAACTTCATGTGGCCTGCCACTATGGCTCAAGGACGCAAGGGGCGCGGCGTTGCTGCACCATCACTAAATGCCCTATTTTCGGAACAAGCTAAACACCCTAATCTTAAACCCGAAAGCTCTGAACCACAAGAACTTGGTGAGCAGAAGACAACCGCGTAGATTCCGCACCAAGCGCCCTGAAAGACAATTTTCCCCGAAAAAGGCAGCTGCAAACGAGAGGCTAAGTGCCCATCATACAGTGCTTGCCCCCGCGATGAAAGGGCCCATCCCCTAAGACCAAAGGGATGCATTCCGTCACTGAGTGCGCAAGCGCACTCGACAAGTTGCCCAGAGCCCAACGGCAGCAACACGGGTCCCAAACCATCGCGAAGCAGAGGGTGAGCGTCCCAGCCGGATTCAGACAGCGGCAACTTTTGAAGGCGCGCCATGATCTCCATGCGGCTGGCCTCCTTTGGGTTTCAACCCTTTGAAAAGGCATCAAGTTTAGGGATTCACTTTCGAACACGCCCAAGTTGTGTTGTCCGCAATGTTGCGGAGCTAAAGAGGCATGCTCGCGATGCTGTGGTCAGGGTGTGTCGTTCAATTTGCAGGGAGTTGAGGTCGGGACATGCCACACTGAAGCAGGACACTCGCGGGGCTTCGACCATGGCGCCAGTTTCATAAAGGCACCGCCTCTTCTCAGCCATACACCCCAGCTTCTCAAGCAGAAGAAAGCTCGCAACAAAAGGGAAAACGATCTTCGCGGACCTCCAGTCAGCCTCCCATGTTTGTTCGTGGAAGGTGCGTGATTGAGCCGCATTTGCTCGAAGTGGTTGCTCTCAGGATGGCGCTGGCGGCATCTGAGGTGCTTTAAGCAGGGTCGGGTCCTCGCGTATTTTCAGCAAGTCCTGTTTTGCGATTGTTTCTTGGGGATCGGCAACTCATGTAAGGAAGTTGATGGGCCAAATTTGAGCGAAATTGCAGGTGACCTTAAACTGGAAGGGATCGTTTTGCGGGCCAAAGCATGTCCGAAGAAGGCACAGCGATGCCAGTTCAAAGACCTGCCCCCCCCGAACACCTGCAAGGAGCATCATTCCAAGTCCCGACGGCCACCTGCTCTAAGGGCGACCCGGTTGGCAAATCGCTCCAAGGGTCACGCCAAACAGGAAGGTGCGAATAGCCGATGCACCGGAGGCGCATGCTTGACACCCTTGAGCCACGAGAACAAAGACAGCAACTGGTTCCTGTCTTGTGGCACCTATCTTGCTGAAGGCCACAGGCTTTGCCTGGGATATTGGTTAAACACCCTTGCTACATCCCATTGCCAAGCCAGATGTGCCAGTTGTTCCCCTTGCCACTCCTCTGACTGTTGTCTGCCATTTCCCACTCAGACGTCTCTTTGTGCAGAGTGGCGATCCGGCACAGGCAAAGCGCGCTGTCACCGCCGGCAACCGGTCAGGTGGAAAAAGCTAAGCGCTTGCTCGCTGCGTCCGACTGCTGCCAGTTCTGAACATAAATGCAGCCGCCTGTTGGTGTACAAACTAAGTTCCACACGAAAGCAGCGAGTCAACATGGCCCAACATCTGGCCGGTCTTGCCGGAAACGACCAACTCAGAGGCACCGGCAGTGACGGAGATATATGGCGCGGCTCAGTCTTGTATGGATGAGTCTGTGAGGGTCTCGCTGCAAAGGAGGGATACTAGAGAAGATGACTCACTGCAATCCAAGAACATTGTACTGAAATCTTGGATATGTCCATTTGCACGAAATCCACTGAGAGGCGAGCCTATTGTAGGATCCACTGCTTCCGGATCTGACCTGAACGGTTTCTCCCCTGCTAATTGCCAAATCGAAACCTGCAAGCATATTACCCCTGCAGTTTCTGGCACCCTACCAGTGGAGCCAAGTGTTCCAATTTTCGTTGGATGAACCTTAAAGGATCTCAAAGGTTTGGGACGTTGTCCCTTTGGTATCCTCTCCCGGTAGTATCTAAAGCAGTCGTGGAGCCTGAGCCAGGGGTCAAGGATCGACCTCAAACAGGCCCTTTTCTTGGTAGTGGCCAGGCAGACACCAGCTTTGCGGCTGTTCAGAAGACCTCCCGTTCCTCTCGTTCGGGTCGCTTATGCAAAGTTTGCAAAGGCCACCCTTCGCCTTGCTTCGCCTTGCTTCCTGATGCCTTGCCGTGGGCGACCATGCCCTATCGGTCCCGCGATCTCAGGTCAGGACGGCGCTGGGGCGTATGTGGGAAAGGCCGCGGGACAGCTGTTCGCGTGACCGGAGGAATGGAAGTCCCTGGGCCAAACCCGCTCTTTGTCCACGGCCGTAAGGGAGTAGAACAGAAGCGGCAAGATGTTGGAGCCAAAACCTTGGATCTTCATATGCCTGGCTGATGAGTGGGTTCCGTGAATTCTTCATTCTGGGATTCCCAGGAAGTTTCTCGTCTGGCGGTGGGTTGGCAACTTGGAAGGACACTCCGTCACAAGAGCGGAAACCGGGGATGGGACGCTTGGACTAGGTTCAGTTTGAAGTCTCCAGGTTGTTGGATGCTTGGATGGCAACTATGGTGCAGGACTAGATCCACCGTTCTAAGTGCACTGGCGTAGCCAATGTTTATGCAAGTTTTGCGTTTGACGATCAGTTGGGTCAACAATCTCCAGAACTGTTTATGCAAAGAAGCTCGCACCGTTGCGAATATACATATATATATATATATATATATATGTATTTTTCCAGCTTTATATTGCTGGTTTATGCATTTTTTCTGGTGGGGGGATTGTGTTCTTGCGCTTGATTGCGTGTCAGTGTATGTATTTGTTTGTGAGCTTGGCACACTTCACATCAGCGAAACCAGTCACAGCCAGCCACGAGCGCCTGCCAAATCCTCGCAATCTCTGCGAAACCTCAACCAAAACTGCAGGGTTTCGCTGCATCAAGGTGACGTAACCAACAATCAAATGCAGTTGTTTTCCCACGGCAGCTGGACGTCTGGTTGAACTGAGGCGTCTTTATCAGGGGGTCACACCTCGCAGGTTGCCTATATAGGTACAGAGGAACTTGCCCTGTATATGATGCGATCTTGCCGAGCTGGCTTTCCGAATTAGCAGGGCCGTCAATTTGTGCCTTGTGTGCTATTTTCACGTTTGACGCTCACACAGGAACTGCGGTGAACAACCCCTAAAGGTATCATCCAATTGCGACCATCCAGATGATTGGCGCTAGATTGACCCGTTTCAGGCAGATCCCCAGCGAATGGAGTGAACCATGTGAATCATCGAGCTCGAGTTTTCGATAGGGTCTCGTCAAAGTCCCCCCCCCCAAGACGGCACCCACTGACAACTTGAGAAAGACGCCGTATGAGGCTCGGTCAACATTTCCAGTTGTCTATGCTCAACCTGGGATGCACATGAGGGGACTCGCCAAAATTGTCAAGATCAGGGGGCTCACACATATTCCCATGTCCAATGCAGGGGCAGCATGTTTGAAGCATGTCTCATATGCACAGCCAGCTGCGTTTGGCGCGTTCAGACGGGACCTGCCGCGCAACTCTCCGCAGTTTCATCTCTTTTTCGGCCGTGTAGAGACTTCCGTCCCACGATGAACGCCGACACGGTGACCCTCAGAGGAGCGACTGAGACGGGCGGGTGACTGCCATAGTGTTAGGGAGCCAACTCCTGGCTTGGCAACTCAGCCAGGCTTTGACTGTTGCTCAGTGGTACACTGCTTGCGAGCCAATCCAAGACACTCAGTGATGATCCTTCCGGTTTTCATTTGGCTCCAGAGAAGACAAGTACAACATGTTTTTTTGGAAAGTGGCAATGAAGCAGTGCAAACCATTTGTGCAGCGGTTTTCCTCGATGTCGTGCAAGTTTCGGCGAGCAACGTTGTTTAATTGTGTTGCAAGTTCTAGACATATCGAAATTGCGCTGACTGTTTGCTGCAACACAATTGATTGATTTGGAACACGTTCCAGACACAGTGAGCAAAAGTCATACCTCGCACGGGTGAGGCGAAAGGTCAGCGTCCGAAGTGTGACACAGCCTCACAGTTCTCATCGAGCTCCGGGAGTCCAAGTAGCGACACAACATCTGTGTGCATGAGAGACTTTCGCTAGGAGCCTTTTGGGTGTACAAACAAAACTGGTCGCAACTCGATGCTCAATTCTTTGGGCAGTTTAGCCGATGCCCAAATGCAATTCCTTCCATGCCTCTCCATTTTGTATTGACGTTTGTTGGTGCTGGTGATGCTTGTGCTGTTTCAACCTTGCCTCCAACACCGCCCAGACAATTCTCTAGCTGTTTGCTTCAGGGCGACTCAGAAGCTGATGTCATTTTCTGAGTGAAGCTGTTGACCACCCGATTCTCGTGCTGCGAAAGTTGTTTGAAGATGACAACGCTGCCTGCCTCACCCGAGCACCCTTGTGTTGCTGTAGCTGGCTTCCGCTCAAGTCAAGCTATCGGCCAGTCGCTGGTCAGGGATCCTGGACTTTCTGGCCCCACAGACGCGGTGCATGCTGCCCCAGAAGGAGGAGGGGGAGATCCAGGAAGGGGAGATCCAGGCAGGCTCGGGGCGGGAGTCTTTGACCTTCAGAGCTGTGCTTTCCTCAGTTCATTAGGATGGGTTCAAAGCCAACCTGCCTGCTTGTCTACCGGCCACCAAGACCGAATTGGGGTGCTAGGTGTTGTCAGGAAAGTTCAGCAAGCAGGCTTGGGGCTTTCTTTCGAGGGAAGAGCGGCCGTGGAACTTCTTGGGGACAGTTCACGTGGGAAGCAGCTGGATGGGTCTCCAATTTTGATGCATACAGAAGGCAGATGTCGCCCTCAAACGGCGGTGTTCATGGGTGCATGGCTTTCAGAAGTTTTGACGGGGTGAGCTGAGGTCAGAGCACCTTCAGCCAAAGGGCCCCCTTCTGGTCATATGTAAACATTCCATTTGAATCGTGTGCAGGGACACCTTCCACGTCCAGCTCTTGAAAGAGTAGTTTTGTGGGTCGCATGCAGCAAGGCCTTTTGCCTTGGCAAGCAACCCCAACGGCGTACTCGAAAGGGATGATGGTGCCAATTGACTTCTCGGCTTTCCGTTCAGACGGTTCCCCTTTTCTTCGACGGCTCTGGACCATGGAAGGAACCGGTACTTGCCAGAAAGAGCGCCGACTCTGCGCGTGATATTTTTTTGTTCATCTTCCAAGGTCAATCTGCAGGGAGGCACTGCATCCCTTCGGGTGCCCTCGGAGTCCTTGACTGTGGCTTTGTGTAGCTATGAAGCCGGCAGGCGGGCCGATCGGAGCCAGCTGGGGGCTTTCGTCGGGTTCCGCAAGCGACCCCGACTTCCAAGGGAGACAGTTCCCCCCCGTGAAAGCGGGCTCCCTCTGGGAAGTTGAGCCAGGGCTCACACTAGAAGGGTGGCAAAGCAGATCCACATGATTTGTTGGATACAAGCTCAAGGAGGGCGGCTGTGACTAGTGAGAGTCTCGCATGCTTCACACTTCACGAGCATCGCCGGATCGCCTTTGGTCACCCTTCCCAGACCATTCCACCTACGAACTGATCGTTGTTTCAACCTGGTTGGCGCCTGAGATGGCGCAAGTTCGCTTGTGCCCGGAAGAGTTCGCCGAAGAGACCTCCCGGTTTCAACATGTGGTTGTTGTTCCTGGCTTCATGCAAAAGGAGGAACTAGGGCCCCATTCCGAAGACACCCGGTGATGCCCTTCTTCTCCTTTTAACTAGGAAGAATAAATACAATGGGGGCTCTTTTCTTCCCATGAAATCCGTCTGGGATTCTAGAGGCAATGCGTGTCAAAGGGAAACCACCCATGGGGGGTTCCCATGAGACTGCATATGGCATGAGCCAAGTTTAGATTCTCATGTTTGAGTGCCTTTTTGCAAAAAATGAACGGAAGCCATGAATTTTTTCGGCATCCAGCAGGACCTCGGAGCGGGCGATGGCAGTGGAGGCGGAGCTGCTGGCCTCGCTGCTTCAGGAGAAGGGGGGCACTGGCTTGGGCCTAAATAGCTAGAATGCCTATTGATGTCAAACGTTGTGGGATACTCTAGCAGCAAATGTGTTCTTGATTGTTGGTAACTATTAGCAGGTAATTTGACCCGCTGCTCAAAGGAAGTTTAGCGAATCGAGCTTGGATGTCTCTTGGAATTGCATGCGTTGGGCGTGACAAAGCGAACACATGAGGTGCACAAGAGCCGGGAAATCGAACACGTGGCCCTGTTCATGAATCCGGCTCCTCCCCAGGTGAGCAAGCCACCTCGGTCGCGACGCTTATGTTTTGGCGGCTTGCAGTTTGCGCGCGCAATCATCTGGTGTTCAACCATCAGAGCGTGAACCATCTGCACAACTTGGGGTGGTCAACCGTCAGCTGATTTTTTTTGCAATCTCTTCAGCTAGCTAGCTAGCTGACCAACTAACCGGTTCACTGACTAACCAAGGAACTATCGCAGAAGTAGCTCAATAGAAGCTTGTCTATCTGGCGACTTTTCCGCCTATCTAACCAATTAGCTGCTAGTTTTATGACTCTCGATACCCAGCTCACAAGCCAACTCTCGAACTGGCAAAACAACTAGCCAGTCATCTAGCTAACTAGCTAACTAGCTGGCCATGTAGTCGACTGGCTAACCAGCCAGCTTGGCTTCACACACTCGCGCTTGAAACGAAAGACGCAGCAAAAAGGCACGCAAGCATGCCACGCATGTGCAGTGACAAGGAACCGCATCCCAACCTATAGTTGCTTCATTCCCGGAAGCATATAGCGAAGTTTTTTGTTTTTTTTAATCATCACGTCTGCGAGATATTCACAAAGGGATGTCACCAAGAGATTGCCCGAGCACAATTTTGGGCCTGACCCAGTGGGTCTAGTTTCAGCCAACCATGGTCGGAGTCCTCTTTGTCCTCTGGCCTTCCCGAGCAGCGGGCAAATGCAGCCTGGTCCCGTTTTGCCCTGGTTGGTGAATCAATTGGGCGGGTCGCCTACCAGCCCAAATGACCCATTATCTTCAACTGACACAGCAACATTGGCGGAAGTTGTCATTGTCAGGTGGAAAGCACTTGATTTTTGGGTTGCGAGCCGGGTAGGCAGGGCAATGGGAACGATATACTTTACCCTCACAAGTTCCTTTGATTTCAGATGGCTGCATTGTCATTCAGGCAAGCAAGAGGTACCCGAATACGCAGCCCCGACCGGTTGTGAATCTGCAAGCAACGCCGCACACCAATCATGCTTCGCAAGAACCCAATCATGCTTCGCACGAACTGTGCTGAGCTCCAGAGAAACATTTCGGAACCACCTAAGTGTGTGTGTGTGTGTGTGTTGTTTTTGAGGGTACCCTTTCTCAGGTTTGAAAGGAACACCACAAGGACAGCCTAAATTTGCACATGCTTTGCTGATGGAAACTTATCGTTGTGTGCTAATGTTTTGCCGTTATCGTCTTCATCATTAACCCGCCTTAGTTTTGTTCTGTAGTTCGTGCAAACTCCCGTTCAAGGGAGGAGGCAGAGGCTCACCAGAAGCTTGGAGTTTGAACGGTCGAAAACATCTTGGGCTCTGGCAGCCTACCAACAAGGTCCGCCTTGCTTGGTTGTTTCACTTCAGACACAGCCGGTTGTTGTGCAGCAGGCGACGGGTCAAACCAAGAAGACAAAGCAGAGGCGCTGCCCTCTGTGGTTCTATGCAGCTGAACAATGTTTGCGAAGGGGGGCTGGCAGCCTGAGTGCTAGCCAGAAGTTTTTTTCCCCACCCGACAAGAAGGGGTTGTTAGATTTTTTTTATGTTGGACTCCGCGTTTGCGATGCTTCTAAACAACGGCCCCACCCAGTATCCCGCCAGAGCAGCTCGCCAGGATCCCGCCGAGTATCCCGCCAGAGCAGCCGAGTATCCCGCCGCCCAGTATCCCACCAGAGCTGCTCAGTGGATCCCGCCAAGTATCCCGCCAGAGCGGCTCGCCAGTCCCGCCGAGTATCCCGCCAGAGCGGCTCGCCAGTGGATCCCGCCGAGTATCCCGCCAGAGCGTCTTGCCGGTGGATCCCGCCGAGTATCCCGCTGAGTATCCCGGAGTAGCTCGCCAGTGGAATCAACCGGCGCTGGTGCTTGTTGAAAAAAGGGGGCGAAACAAAACCACAAGACAATGGGGACATCGGCCCCTAGAAAGGGTCTGGGGCAGGATGCCTTGAAAGGTGAGGGAACAGAGCGTGACAATGGGTTGCGCGCGAGAACGATTCAATGCTGGGGATTGGCCGCTTTTGAGATTGACTGGGCATACACATAGCGGACCTAGAGGCGAAAAAGTCAGACGCACGGAAGGTTCGGACCGTCAGCGTTCCAAAGGCGATTGGTCGGGGTCCCCCAACTTCTTAGAAAGTTGGATGTGGATTCGCAGGACACGCCGGCTCCCGAGAGTCGTCTACTGAGCGCCTGCCTGCAGTGCCTCGCTTGGTTTGCGGTGTGAGTTAAATTTTGGGTTTGTTCTGGAGGGACACCAAAGATAATATCATCTTTTTGGTGGTCCCTCATTTAAAGACGCATGCGCAATATGAGTGTTGCCTTGAAATGAGGGGAAGGTGGTGAATATGAAAAAACGAGGTGACTATTTGCTTGAAGGTTTCCCTTGCACAAACAGGGTCCTTGAGATATGTTCTTCTCTTTGCCTTTCTCTCATGGAAAGACCGCATGCGTCAGAGCTAGTTGTATCCCTGGAAATGGTTGTGTTTCTTGCCTTCACTGTCCACCTGTCCGCAAAACGTGGAAGTAGCTCCTGGTGTTGTGTTGCCTCATGGCACATCATTTGTGGTTTGTTGCCGTGGCGCAATTGTACAACTTCGGATTTCGGTCGTGGTTCCGCCGTGCTGGAGGGCGTCTGCGCAGACTTTTCGGCAACTCTGCGTCGCTCGAAACCCTGACGGTTTCTCAAGTTTCCACATTCCAACACTCATAGAAATCCGATGTTCATGGCAGCCTGTCCTTTTGGAGGGCACCTCTCTTGTGGTTGGCCTTAGATATAGGGCAGCCAAAAGGACATCAACCAGTTGTGGGGTCCACCTAGTGTGAGACAAGTCCTTGTTCCACGCATCATGGCATCATGTCTGGTCTAAAGTTTGCCATCTAAAGAAGCCTGGCCCGTGAGCCTTGTCTGCCCGATTGTTCCCATATGATATGAGTTCGATCCAAACACAGGCGTCTACCGTGTATCTGGGAGAGGCATGGGGGACTCACGAAAATTCCCCTACAAAAACCAGTGGACTCACATGTTTTCTCGCGTCCTTTGGGTCCTTGGGCACAGCTTCGTCACTTCCGAGCTTCCGAGCAAGGTTTCGGGTGTCGCTGGAGGAGGTGGAGCCGCTGGTGTTGCCGCCCTGGGCATTGGACACTGCCTTCCCCTCCCGGGAGCCGGGAGGGAGGGGGAGGTTTGGATGGGCTTGGTGTCAGGGCGGAGGGTTGGAGTGGGGCTGAAAGGGGTGGGGTTTTGGGAGCACAAGCGCCGAGAAGCCCACACGGAGCCGAGCTTCTTGCTCCCCTGTGAGAAAGGAAGCGGCGCCCACCATTTGGAAGACCGTGCTGGAAGACACCCTGACCGGGTCAGGGCCTGACCGCCTCCAGACAACCGACATCGCGGGGTGGTCCTATGCTTGTTTTGTTGTTGGACAGAATCTGGACGCTGGCTTTCTGAAAGAACACAAGAACGGTTGTGCCAATCAACTGGGTTAGAGGCACCCAACACCCCTTGTCTTGGCCAAGTTAGAAAAAATCTTTTCTCTGGCGTAACGCGGGCTAAAGTGATGGTATGAGAGGATATACCTGCAACAAGGTGGTAATCCCCCCCAAACAGGCAAGAAAAACCAGAACCGCCTGTGAGATTATGAGATACATGTCGTTTCTGCAGACGATGGGACAGGGAAAACCTATCGGGCTTCGACAATTCCTAGTAGCTATTGGGGCATGTCTCTTTTAGGAGGACCCCCAAAAACCGGTGGTTTTCCTTTGGTTTTCCTTTGGAACCAACAAAAACGGGTAGCCTCAAAAACGGACAGACCCATTTGAGCCAAGCCTCCGAGTCGCCGTGACGCGAGGAGGTGTTCTTCAGCTGCCTGAGCCTGGAGGACTGCTTTCAGCAGTGGCCGCCACAGGCGCTTCGCCGGAAGACAGCTGGATGCGGTTTGGAACATATGGGGCTTGATCAAAAGGTCCTTTACCTGGGATGACCATTGAACACCACTGAAAAGATGATATGCCCCACCAAATGGAAAAAAGTTGCTCATTTGGTCCAGGAATCATATGGGTGTGTCTTTTTTCAGTCGCAGATCCCCTGAAACCTCCGGAGCGTGTTCAACTCCAAACAGGGAGCACTCACATCCCGCACATTTCAGCCACTCACCTTGGCCCAATGTCAGACGTTCAGCCATTTTTTGCCACTGTCCAATGTGATGGTGGCCGTAAGTTTAATCAGGATTGCCACGGCAAGATGATGCACTCAAAGTCTCGCAATATTCCAACAAGGCCACCGCGCGTTGGCAGAAGGGCCATCTCCCTTCAAGAGCTCTGTCCGATAAAAACCTCAGGTGACTTAAAGCAGCGCAGCTCGTTTACATGTAGCCACGCCATGTTAACAATTATCATGTCTGAGCAACTTTGTTTCAGGCCCTTTCAAAACCAGTCCTTTTGCTGAAGCGAGATTCCTCAGCTTTGAATTGGCCCTGCCAGTATTTTCACACTGGAACAAAGAGTTAGAGACCGAACATGAGAAACCATGCAAGGTTTTTGCATGATCAAACTGGAAATATACGGTTGCAAGCGACAACCCCCATGGGCCGGCACAACAGCCGCCTTTCTTGGTTTCGCTAGCCCCGCGTGAGTTTGTTCTCATGAGAGGATCTGCTTTACGGAGGCCATGCAAGGGATGTCGTGTTTTTTTCCTTCTCACTTTGTGTACCAAGAGACCACCCGAAAGTCACCTTACCCGAATTGGTGGTTGGGTTTGGTGTCCCCATTTGGGTTTCACAAGGTGGGTTCAAATCCCCAAAGCACCAATCCAAACCAGTTGGAGGGAAGCTGAGAAAGTGACAGAGCCAGCGGCAAGTGTCAGCGAGGCCGAGACCGGAGGCTTCCCAGGCACGGTGCGCAACCGCGGCGGCGGGATCTTCTTCGGCGCCGCGGCGGGAAGAAGCCGCGGAAGCGGCAGGGTCTTTGGGACTTTGAACAAGACACCCTGGTTGAGGATGCTTCGTTTTTTTCTTCTCTTTTTTTTCCCCCCGGGATGACTCTGACCATCAATATGTTTTTTTCCTCTTTTTTTTCTCTTTGTTTTTTCTCGTTTTTTTTTTTTTTGTTTGTTTCCCTTGTGCCAACTGTTTCTCAAAGGATGCATTTATCTGCATGAATCTTCCATGCGTGTTTGTTGTTTCCATGGTTTGGGGGGGACCCAGAGCAAGAGGATGCTGTCCAGTCTGTCAGACCCAACAAATACTTTCTTGCCCCTCAGTTTGAAAAGCGGTTGGTGGACATGATTCCCGTTGAGATAATGTCCACCACAAAGGTCCCCTATTAAAATTAAGATGTGGATAGCCCGCAAACGTTTTGGCGTGGCTTCGCCCAGGTTTGCGGCCTCCAGCTCTAAGTTCCGTTTACTAGGTCAAGAGCGTGATCTAAATCATCGCGGGGGTAGTCTCAACTCAACCATCCCAGACAGCGTAACCTTAGCTCCAGAAATGAGGCCCCTTTCGTTTGGTCTGATTCAAAGTTTTTGAGTGGAAGAGGCAGGCGTCCGCGCCTTGCCATTAGGCAAACCCACAGCAGGTTCAATGCCGTTGCCGTGGTAGCACCGCGTGGATCTCGGCTGTTCCGGGATTTGGCTGCGATCTTGCTTCAAAACAATTGGCTGTGTATCTGAATAGGACATCTACGCAGTAAAAACTGCAGGAGAGCATTAATGCTCATGGGAATGATGTGCGCCAAGGTTCCCCATCAAAACACATTCTCCAACCTTGAGGCGAATTTGGGAAGACCTCCAGCGACGGTCTGCCACTCTTCCAGCAGCCCCTTGGCATGGTGGGCTGATGATTGGACGGGTGAGGCCCTCCAAATAGTAAAATTCTACGCGGTATCGACCACGGGAAAATTGATAGAGCCTGAAAAGGGTTTTGTTAAGTCGATCTTACTGGGCTCCTGGTTTCCTTCCACAGCCCACATTCACAGTCTGGCCATGGTGATTTTTGCGTCCTTTTCGGAGGCCTAGGGCGGGGTGGCACGGCATAATCGCAGCATGTCAGATGAACCTTGGGTGACAAATTCAGGTCACGAGTCAATAGAGACGTGGGCGATCCGGCATGGTTTACTGAGGTGCAATGCTAATAATTAAATTGGTGTTTTGACGGGCGGGCATGCTATGCTCTTTTGGGGACCCACATTCTGAAAGCTGAGAATTGAAATTGCTGGGGGCCACGTACTCACATCAAGCGATCGAAGCACTGCACCTTTTTTTTTGACGTCCTGCGACAAGGTTCCTGTAAAAGGGTTGAAGCTTGTCCAAGCCGGTGGTCTTCCCTCAGATGCCGCTTCTAGATCACACATAGAAAATGGCAGTGTCTTTTGTTTGAGGGTGCCGACGAGTTCTGGTGGTTTCCAAACATGTACTTCAAATGGGTCTACCTCAATTTGCTAAACTTATAAACCTTCGGGTCTGAATGATTTTGAGGGTACTAGGACTTTTGGTGTTTCTTTTTATGGGCAAAAGAAATACCCAACCCTTTCCTGCCACAATCCATACCCGGGTAGATGAAGGTTAGTAAGGGACACCAAGCATAGGTGCGGATATCCGCCTGGGTGAGCTGTTTGCCATGGGGTTTTGGGTCCATGTTACCAAGTCTTGACTGCTCAAGGGAACCAAACATGGGCGGCTTCCATTGGGTTTCAGGCGCTCGGTGTGCAGCTTTTCCTGCCGCTGGGCTCAGCTGCTCGATGGCACCGTGCCTTGGAGTCAAAAAGGCGAACGGTGTCGGCTCAAGCCCGAGATGTGCGCGAAAGTACCCCTGCGTGTTTGTTTCTGTGTTTGTTTGTTTGTTTGTCTTTTTGTTTTTGTTTATTTGCTTGTTTTGTAGTTAAGTGGGTTTTGTTTGTGTGTGTGTGTGTAACTATTGTTTTTTGTTTTTTGTTTGTTTGTTTGTTTGTTTGCCTAGTTTTGCTTGGGCATGTGCAAGGGTCATCGAGCTCGTACCACCCTCTTGGAACCGACCCTTGTCCACTTTCATGACTGGCAAATAGGTACGATGTCCCTGGGGAGAGTACATCCAAGAGCTTTGGCCATGTGGCTGCTCGATTTTTTTCAGTGCTGAGGTAGCCTCAATTTCGGTTCCCATGCCTATATCTGAGACTGGGAGGTCCTTCGGATGGAGGGCCAGCTCGGCGATCCGAAGCCTTTGGTCTATTGAGCTACGCGTACTTCGGCAACAACCAACACCCCTGACCCGAAGGGGTCCGAAGGGGTGGCGGGTCAAAACTCATTTTCCGCCATGGCCGTGGCAGAGACACACACGTACACATTTTCCATGACTGCCGGGGATAGCCATGGGTTCGCGTCAAAGCCTGTTGGAGAGCTCCTGCTGGAAGTTTCCATGCTGTTTCGAGTCGCCGCTTGAAAAGGCCTGAATTGCCCCCTCATTTCTTTCTGCTTTCTGGTCAGCGGGCTGACCATTGTAGTCATGAGGTGTAGCCATTGAAGCAAAGCTTGCATTTTAGTTGCAGGTTCTCACTTCTTCAGCCACCTTAGAAAAAACACACCTTGAAGATGAATCGATTATTGTGGTCCCTAAGGAGGGCGTCTTTGGGTGGTGTCCTAAACGTGCTGCTGGGACTCTTGATGACACCACAAAAAGAGAGGCGAGGAACACATGAAACTTTGGTACACGCACACACGCACACACAAACTTTTGGTAGAAGCCAACTGAGTCTTGCAAACATGTGCAACCACAACAACAACCGCACAGACCGTTGGGCGGGAGTGCGAGTTTTCGGAGTCCTTCCTTGCGCATCCTCAGGTGCTGGCGCGACTCATGAGCTTCTCGGACGTGAGCGGGCTGAGGGATGGTCGGGCTTAGGACCGAATGCCCAAAGGAAGCAGGACGAGTCAACAGGATCATGTTGAAGAGCCGTTCCTTTCGACCAGGACATTACATGGCTGTGCAACATGAATGCCCCTTGCCATATGTGCATTTTTCCGGGGAAAAGCAGAGCCTTAGTAGAGACAGCTTGCCCTGGTAATCACTGCAGAGACGATGTTGTAATGCAGATGGTCGTGCCTGTCCACTCTCAGGTCCGGCAGGTTTTATGGGATGCCAGGATGAAGTACACACAGGCAGAAATTTCAGAAACACACACACACAGACCCCTCCATTGGTTTGAACTGATATGGTATATAGTTGGGGCTCACTGCCAGTTTAGAGCACTCCGGCACCCATTGCATCACTGATCCGAGGCATTTTCATGCCACTCCTGCGCCCCCAATGTGTCGACTCAACCACACCGCAACACGGGTCCGCTGGTGAAGGGGCACGCAGCTTTTGCCAGTTTCAATAGCTGCTCCGTCTGTTTCGATGGCTGCTTGCAGAAACTCAGGGTAAAGATAGCCCACGGGAACATATTTGAACTGACTTGGCGGATTTGCAATATGTGACCTTTGCTGGCTCACGCTGACAAGATACCACTTCAACTGCCTGAATACCGACCTTTCCTGTCGTTGGTCACGCTAAGGGCTCGGCTTCGATGAAAATACTCCTGCCAAGCTCAACCATGACCCGTGGCAGGCAGCTTCCAGCGTAGTCAGCCGGATGTTCGCAAGAGCACATGTTCAGACTGGGCCGCGGTCATATATATATATATATATATATATTACAAAAGAACACCTTGATCATCCCAACTCCAAGCAGCAAGTTGTGTGTTGACTCGCCCTTTTTTAGCTTCAAAGCGCCCATTTTTACGAATTCCAAACCAGACTCGGAGGCTCGGACCTGTCGGGCCTTTGCCTGCACCGGCTGATGGTGCCAGAGCGCTTCCGGGCGACACAGGAAGCGTAGGGTTTCCGGGGGTTGAACCCAACGGGGAGATTCAGACCCCGTATTTCACACCCAAGTCGGGTCTGGGGGTGAGGCTGGTGGTTGTTTGGGTTAGGGGGTGGAGTGTTGATGTTGGAACTTGCTTGTGGGAAGTTCGTCCTTTTGGATAAATAAACCGGGGCATTTTCCTTCTTTTGGCGTGGCGCTTTGCGCTCAAAGCGCCAGGCGCTGCTGACAGCTCTGCGGCGGGTCCTTTGGAGCCCACGGTGGCCTCGGGGAAGCCGTCAGCTGGGGGCTATTTGTGGGACATCAGGGTTCCAGTCTGCCTCGGGAGAATCCAAAAATGGAGCCCGGACCCTGGTGGTGCCAAGCATGACGTTGCGACGAATCCCTTTTCATGTGGGGTTCTTCACATGGGCTTGAAAAACATGGGGAACGCAATTGATAGCTCGGCGGCATCTGCGCCTAAAGCCTCTAACGTGACTCTTCCCAGACTCACGATCTGGTACGGCTCCTATGAAGGCTGTGACAACGGGAGCATCCCGGGGCACTTGAGCAATGTGAATGCTGAACTGGTCTCAATGGCGCCCCATGTCACTCGGTAGCCAGGTTAGACCCATTTGAACTTTATGACGTGTTTGCTTGCCGACATGATCAGGAGGGAGTGCTGCTGTCGTGTGCACAGGACCAGAAAGGAAATTCCACACAAGTGCGGACAAACACGTAGGTGCCAGCATTTTTTGAGTGGCTGCCCCACCATGAATAAGGACTGCATGGGGTCTGTCACGTCAGAAGCTTCGTAGTGTGAGGCATTTTTTTCATCCAAGTCATCCCCCGTCTTTCGCCCTGATTTCTACCTGTTCCATGTTGCAGCGACTTCATCTACCGGGGGTTTGCGACCAAAAACCCAGATGAAGCTTACAGTCTTGTGTCCACAGCATTCTATATTTTCCTCTTGCTGCACCATTTTGGCCCAAGGGGCTTTTCGCTCAAGAGCATGCTTGAAGGGGAAACACAGGGAACCCCGTTTGTAGTGTTCCCGCGAGGTACGCATGGATCTTCCCTGCGTGGCATCAACACCGTATGGCCCTGGTCTCCTGGCTCGGGAAGGATGGACCAAGACCTTTGGGATTCCGATTGGTTCACGTCTGGATTCCGAGGCCTGCGGTTCTGGCTGTGCTGCCAGCCAAATTTCAACCAGCATTGGGTTGTAGCACAAGCGCAGCAAATCCACAAATCCACGCGTGCCAATCAAGTCTTCGGCTTTCTAAGCGGCCAGGAGCTGGGTTTCGGCGCCTTGTGGGCCGAAAAGGCCTTGCGCGGGTGGGAGACGGTTTTCGGCTGGAAGCGGGGGGGGGGGGGAACCTCAAGTCATTTGACCGGCTGGACCATTGCCACTTGTCAAGCTTCCATTGTCTGACGCCGTCCGCATGTTCCACTCAGCAAACAACGGCCACGTTCCTTGGGAGCCTTCATAAGGGGCCCCTGCTTTTCGACACCCCCCAACAGGTTGGGCCCATAAACCACTAGGTAAGATGGAGGTCGAATCTCAGGTTTGAGGGTGGAAAGGCAAACGGGTTGCATTTGCCCGACAATGAGACTATGAATATAGGAACAAAAGTGAATTACGTGTTATGCTTGCTGCAGGAAGCACCGACACGGCCATTCTGGTCGTTGTGTTGGTGCCACTTGTATGGCACGATGAGCCTGCTTACCACGCCCGTTTGGGGGGCGAAATTTCAGGCCTTCGAAGGAAGGAAACTCCAGGGAACACGTTGGACTTGTCAGCCATCTGAAGCAGAGGCCCCGACCGATTACATTGGGAATGCGACTGGATGAGACTGGTTGTTGAACTCCATGGGTGGAAAGATGAGATGAATTATGACTCAGAGAATTGCAAAGACATCCCACCAAACCACCCTGAAACCTTCACTCTCAGTGTTGCACCCACACATGCAGATCCCCCAGAAGCATCGCCAGATCGTCAAATTGCGCGCAAGGTGGTGCCCTTTTTGCCCATCGAGCCTTTCTTCCCCGGGCCGTGAAGTGAGGAAAGATCCTTGGGCGTGTCGAAGCATTGCGCCCTCACATGGAACTTGACGGAGCGATGTGGAAGACCTCTTCCTGTTCCAGGGCCGCCTGTCAAATAACATGGTAGTAGTCGGAAGACCATGGCAAGAACAAACATTCGACGTGAACGCACGGAAACAAATTGATTATACGCAAACCCACACGTGCCATAAGAACTCACAAGAACAGGATGCCGAAAGCCCGGCAACCTTAAGGCACAAAAATAACATTTGACGAAGGGCTTGGGTGGCCGCTGACCATGTATGATCTGACCGGTTTGGACTTTAGTTGTTAGCTCTCGCCCTTTACCTTCTGAGCGAACAGGGTTCCCGTTTCATTAAGATTGGCCAAGGCGATTTCCCCGCCGAAGCAAACAAGGGAGGTCTCCATTCACCGGCTCGCCTGTAGCGCGAGCAAATTCATGCGGCTCGGGGCGAATTCATCGCAGTTTTGGTTCGAGTTTTGCGCGCGCCTGGCGCTCGCCTGATCTCTGCGAAGTGGAGAGCCCGCTGAATTCGGTTGCTGGCGATGGCGATCGGAACGGGAGGTGAAACCAAATCGGGTGGACCCCGAACCTTTCGGGATGATTTGATCAGCAGCGTACGGGAAGTAGGTTTGCAATCAACCAGCGTTTCAGCGGCACCTTCAGAAGTGTCGCTATCGCCGGCTGGCTGCATGTTGCAATCTGGTGGCAATCAAGGGATTGCCTTTCTATTCCCTTTCTGGAGCCATGGAGAAAGATAGGCGAGCCGCTTCGGTTTGGGTTAGTCACATGACTCTGATCCTGCAAGTCATGTTTTCGGTGCTCGCGATCCAACATGGATGCAGTGACTTCTGGTTCTTGGAGGCTGTTCAGATTCTGGAGGCTGCACTTTTGGGCTAAAATGAGCAGACCTAGACTTATATAGACAGTCGACAAAGCATTGGAAGAAGTCATGCCTTGCTTGCATCATTCCAGTCTTTCCTCTCGTCCTTTTTGCATCTTTGTGGTTGCTCTTCCAAAGAAGGGCACGCCAAAGAGCGGTTGAGTCCAAAGAACATCCCTGCAAAGTCCTACAGCAAAAGGGCAATCGAACGCCCTGTTGCAGTATTCTTGGCCGTTGCAGGCGCTGAACTGCACATGTGGATTTCGAGACTGTGGGTTGGGCATTGCTCGTATTCCCCCAGCACTGGGCACGCCAGCAAAGACAGTTTGCGCGCTGTTGAGGGCCTCGGAAAACACGCTGCTTCCATTGCAATTTCTTCGCCATTAAAAGGGATTCCCTCCCTGCAACTGACTCGGAACCTGACTGGGGGCGGGACATGAACCTTCTCGGGCTGAGCACCTCGCACTTACCCCGCAGGACCTGGCTGCTTGGAAGCTCTCGGCCGGAGAGTCCAGCGCGTTTTGGGTGTTTCGGGCTCCGAGAAGTCTGGACCTGGATGGCCCATGCCCATCGCAGCTTTTGAGACAGGGCATGCTGGACACAAATTTGGCCTTGGGCATCCAAGTGGATGCCTGAAGCAAGCAATTGTGTCACCATGCCCACCTTGGATTGCTCAGTTACGAAGCCCTCCAACCCCATCAGGTTCTTTCACACTTGGATTGCGCGCCAAGTCTATTTCAAGGGGGTTGCCCATGTTTGGTTTGTGCAGACAATGATCATTTTTGGTCTGATCCAGGGTGTTCAGAACCCCAGAAACCAATGGGTGGCTTGCCTACTTGCGTTAAAAGTTGTTCAGCAATGGGGGCCCTTGTTAAAGACTTGGTTCAAACATTTCCCATCGGCTTCATGTGTGCCATGTTGAATCCCAACCCTGCTGGTGCGCGCCGGGGAAAAATGCAGCCCGGTGCGAGCGCGAGAGTTGAGTCAATCTTGATGGGATGGTTTTCCTTTAAAGCCGAGGTGAGAAGGGTGCCCAAAAGCAGCTAGAGCTCCTCCATCACGACACAGGCTCTTTGTCAACAACCCTCAAAACGACAGACACACACACACACACATAAGAATCCTGGCATGCCTTGAACCTACTACTTGAAAATTGGCTTTGAGTATGGTACGGGCCAAGTCTAACCGGAGTCCTCAACCTCCCTGCCCCAATTCACGAAGTGGAAAGGAGCCCACAGTGCACGGTTTGACTCTGCCGGGACAAGTGCGGACCCATGTGAGCCACGCATATTCTTCTTTGCTGTAACTGGAGGGGGGGATGCCGGATGTCAACCTGATCGGTTGACTGATTCCCATGGAATTGGTAGTTTGTCTGGAGGCGTCCCATTTAATCTTGATGTTGGAACAGAGTCGCAAAGGCCGGCCACGTTCAGGGAAGAAGCCCAGGAGCTCGGTCTCCCCGCAGTTTGCATTTGGCTTGCTTCAGGCACACCCAATTTGAGAAGGCGCCTGGACTCATCTTGGGTTTCGGGGATCTTTTGGTGGCGATACTTTACATATTTAGATTTGGTCTGATTGGTTTGCACATAGCTTTGAGCAGACAGTGCTGCTTCTTGCCAGCCAGGTGCGCACCTGCGTTGATTGATGTTTTTGTGAACACACGTCGTTGCTTTTTTTGTTTGTTTGGGGGGGGGGTTGAGGAGGCCAAATCATGCATGAGGCTTCGGCGCTCAAGGATCTGAAAAATCCCAAGTTGTTGGACTTGACACCGTGCTGTCATTCTCACCGATCCGGCTGGATGCAGTTGCCTTGCTTTTGGTAATGATTTGGTCTTGACCAGGGGCTGGCAAGTCTCAAGAACCGGATTGGGTTCTTTGTGCAAAGGGCTGATGGTTGGGAACGTTTGACAAGCGCTCATTTGATAGCTGGTTTCGGGATGTCCCGCTTTTGACGGACGACTCAGTCAATCAATGTCTTTGCGAGGACTTTATTTAGGTGATGCTGTGCTCGTGCTGACTTGCGTGGCTTGTGTATCTCTGCATGCCGCCTGGCCTTTGGTTCAGATTTACCACAGAAAGGGAACCGGCCGGAAACAGCCCCACTGTCAGATTGGTCCTTGACATGGTTGCACGGGTATGCGCGGGTTTTTGTTTGTGCAGCTCGGCTGCAGATCCTGAAGGCAGGAACCCACCCAATGTTGCCCCAAAGCCCCCAGACTCCAAATTTTTTTTTTCAAGCCATGCAGCATGAGGTGCAGTGTTCATGTTCCCGAGATTTTGCCAGTTTTTGGAGTGTTCAGCAACCCAGGTCACTCTGCCCTGCAGGAAGCATGCAACGAGATGGTTGGCATTTCTAGCCAAGTTGGTTGCTGTTTGTTGGTGAATGTCCCCGTGGCTCACTTAGACCAAGCACCACCTGACTGACACGGCGGGCAGCTTCGATCCCGCGCCATGCTGCAGCTCTGGGATCGCCTGCGGCAGGAGCAGGGAGTGGGCTGAGCGGGGCGACTCCGGATAGATTTTAGCTGATTTTGCAGAGTGCCCTTTGTGCTGCTCCAGAAGCGTTTTTTTGGTTGAATGATTCTGGGGGAAGCGCCGTGACTGGCAGCCTCAGTGATGCGGGCCATGAGGTTGTTCTCCAACAGCATGGCTAGCATTTCAAGCGAAATTGAGCGCCGCAAAGTTACAGCTTCTGGGGTCTTCTGCCGGCTGGGAGATGCAAGAGCAGCTTGCTCTCAACAGCAGGGGGCCCGTGATTGATGACGCTAAGCCTGAATCCAAACAGATTGCATCTGGCCCCTACCTGTTGAAATGTAGTATTTAAGTATGTGTCGCCTTGCACTTTTACGCAAGAGCTCTGCTTTAGAAAGCCTTTGAGAGTGGGGGGTGTGGCGGACTTTGCGGGCAGTGGAAGGTAAAAAATCAATCAACGTACTTCGGGTTGCCCAAGTTGTTCAATGCTCGCCGGTCCTTTTGACACCCACCAAACGACAGATCTGCTATTTTTGTCACGCACGTCCAGAGAATGATCAGATACCCTCTCTCTCTCTCTCTCTCCAAAAATCATAAGCTGATGGCGCCGGGTAGGGGGGGGGTTGAGAACAGACTGCCATCATTTCAAAATGGCTGGTGCGGAAAAGATGGTACCATCCTCAATCCTTGACCCAAAATCATTGTCTCATCAGCCGCGCACATGGCCTATCAAAACTTGGGCCCTCAGTGATAGGAGCCACCCATCCTCAATCCAGGACTGGGGGATATAAGCACCCTCACAAAGAACTCGCGGGAATTCTTTCAAGTTGATGAGGACCGCCAGCTGCGACTCAAGGCAGGGGTCTGCCATGTTTGCATCCATATTTGCAAGTGAATCATTGGGATGTTCACAAGAGGGCATCGTGCTATGTCATGTCTGGAATTGGGGGAAGTCGTAGAGTCATGGATGTAAGGGAGTTGAACTTCTTCTTATTCCCTCTTTTTTTTTGGGGGGGGAGAGGGGGTGAGAGGGCACGATCTTTTGACCGCTTGAATTGATAGTTCCGACTCTTGGTCTTGGATGCTGGACTGCAGCGGGAACATCGGCGAACACATCGTGTTTGATGATCAGAGCTGCAATAAATATGTTCAAGGAATGCATATCAACCTCAAGTTCATCCTGTTTGCCTCCCAATCTGAGTCGGCACAGGTTCCTCCAGAGGTTTGACCGCTGGCGCTAGGTGCTGGCTGGCTCCAGCGGCCTCAGTCTCCTAGTGGCCCTGCTGGCAGGGGAACGGGGGAACGGGGGCAATGGGGGCGGATGTCGTTGGCGGCTTCCATTCAATCGTTGGTGCATATCGAACCTGAGGTTGAACAGGACCCTTGGCACTGGGGCCCAGACCCAGTTTTCTTGAAAGGAGCTTCTGCCTGGTTTTATGCCGGGGATCGTGACGTCTTGTTGAGGAAAAGGTTAGAGAGGTGTTTATTTTGCGTTGAACATCTGATGTTTCCAGATTGGAGGCAACGAGCCTCCAACGAGCCGCAGCCGCTTGACACATGTCGGGCACATGGTTCTTTTGCCGCTGCCGCCCTTCCGGGCGAATGATGCAGTGACCTCATGGAGGGTAAAACATGCTGAACGGGTTCGAAAGCAGAAGTTCGGAAGCCCTGGGTGCCTCATTTCAGGTTGGTGAATGTCTTTCGTGAAGTAGGGAGACTCCAGTTTGGCCTCTCAAGAAAAACAGTGCAGGTGCTATACTGCTATGACACCCCGGGCTTCCCTCTGTGTTGACGGGAATTTCCATAAGGCCCATGCATGGGCCTCTGACCTCTGATTTGGAGGCAAAAGCTGAGGCAGTTCTAGGACCCCCCCGCCTCAGTCTCTTGCAGGTGCGGCGGCTCCGCCGGGCCAACACCAAGAGCGCCGCCCCCGCCGGGCGCCCGGCGCGGAGCGGCGAGTCGCGAGGATTGGCAGGGAGTCTGGGGAGTCTGGGGAGTCTGGGGAGCTGGAGATGGCATGGTCTGCGATGCGTGGAAGCTAGTCAAATGGTCGATGAAATGGCAGGGCGCCCCAGTTTTGAGAGGACCCTCGGGGTACTTTTCAACGGGAAGCAAGATGAAAGAGAGTTGCCCTAGTTGCATACCTGCTCGCTACGTGGGCATGAGGCCCGCTGCACTTTGCAGGCTTCGTACCGAAGACCATTGGCGCTTCAAGCAAAAACAAATCATGCATCAGCCACCTCTTTGGGCACAGCAGCGATCACAAAGTTGACCGAGGTTTCGGGCTTTCGCCTGGCATTTTTTTTCAATCAGTTCAGCGACACGACCCATGAATCCCTGTGTTTGGGGCTGAAGGGCTAAGACTGGTTGGCAGCATCCAAAGGCTTTGAGAGTTTTGAGAGGACCTGGTCTCACCGAAGGGTCCGAAACACGTCCCATGGCGTCGGCCCTCTGCGTCCTCCTGCCCCTGGCGCTCGCGAGCTGCGAGGGGCCCTTTTGCGAAGATGGCTTCAATGCCCTGCCGCCGGGAAAGAATTTGGGAAATGGGTGCATGGATGCATGAACAGAGAGGCCTGGAGAGGTCTAGAAAAAGATAGTGAACCCATGAAGGTTCTTTCCTTCATCTGGTTTTAGAGGTAAGTGAGCATAGCTTGAGACATTTGTCGAGTTGCACTGCGAGCTCGGCACTCTCAGTGCTTCCTCTGCGCTTAGTGCGACAAGCTGACCCGTGGAAAGGGAATGTGCTGCCCAGGATTCGACCCTTGGCATGTGCAGGGCTGGATGTCTCTGTTGCCTGTCATGTATCACACGGTTCAGAAAGCTTTCTGGCAAGCATTTGTTTCGATCCGAAACAGACGTTTCCGGAACTGCAGCGCGCCTGTCAGACGCACTTTTTGGGTGAATGGGTCATTGAATTCGAGCATCCTTTTCGATCTGCTTTGCCGGAACAAATCACTTTTGACTCGCTAAACCATGTTCTTGAAATTGGGGCATGCCTTTTAACTGGAAGCACGGGTGGTTTACCACTATCAAGTGCAGCCAAAGGGCAACTGGGCTCCCTGTGTAGGAAGAGGCCTCATCTTTGATTCCAAGGCTTCAGACAGAGCAGCGATATTTGCAGCGGAAATTGGATGCGAGCAGCAATTTGGAGGCGTTCTCTGGCAACCCGGTGGCCGAGCTGCCACGAGTTGGGGAGTTTCAAGGAGACAGGTGGCCTTGTCAAAGTGATGCCCTCCATTCAGTTGAATGGTTGGTTTCCTCTTGGTTTCTTTTCAGGGTCAGGTTGGGGGCTTTTTGCTAACATGTCGAAGGGGGGCCCGATGTTGGGTTTTGAAAGGAAAGGCTCTTTCCGCGCAACCGCAAACTCTGAAAGTTCAAGCTCGAATTTGGATGAGGCTTTGTATAGATGTGACGATACGTATGAGGTATCCGCACCGATCGGATTGAGAAAGCCGAAGGGATCCTACAACGAACGATGCAAAGTGAAGCGGCAGGTAAGGCTTGACTTTGCAATGTGTCGACTTGGGGAGCGTGCACTTCTGGCAAGGGGCTTTACATTTGACTTTTTGGGATGTCTGGCAAAAAGTCTCGGCTGCACTCCCATCTATGGTCATTTGATTCGAAGAGGTGCACTCTGTATATCTTGTTTGGGGTAGCGGTCAGAACCCCGCGGGGCGAGTGAGACAAAGGCCAGTGGCATCCAATCCCCGCGCTTCTTCGCGCGAAAAGCCGCACGCCAGATGGACGACGTCCGGTCTGCCTTCCAAGCGCTGCACGCCGATGGCGACATCATCAAGATTGACAAGGGGCCGGGCAGGGGGATTCACGTCGGGATAGGCCTTCAGGAATCCACTCTTGATTCTTGTCAACCACTCTCTCTAGACACGGATCATGGGGTTCGTTTTTTCATTGTTGCTCTTTGGCAAGAAGAGGTGGCCAAGGGCCCCCGGGCAACAAAACATTTAACGACCTTAAGGCTTTAAGAGCTGGATTTGAGGTTCCAGGCTGCATTGAAAATTGTGCAAGCGGCTTCTACGTTGTCTGTAGCAGATTTGCTCAATGAGACCGCCTACATGTCAGCCAGATGTGGGCTTTTTGCAGTTCGCGAGCGGTTGCGGCACACTTGGGCTGGCTGCTTGCTCTGAGTCAGCTCAAGTTGGATACTACAGTGAGAAACAGGACTTGGCCAAATCGGAAATAAAAGCAACTCACACGTTTTACTAGCTGTTTTGAGTTGGATCCCCCTAATGAGATTGTGCGAGACCTTGCTCTTCACTTGGACTCGTGTTCCTGAAGTGACTTTCCAGAAAAACAGCCGGAGCAGGGCCGGGTATTGCCGTTGCCAGTTGCAAAACAAAACGAAACTGCGGCTCGGCCGCGGAATCGTGGCTTTGGAAAAGCATGGGCTCAATTTCTTGCCTTAATCAGGGGGCATCCCTTTTGCAACACAGGGAGAAACAGTTCCGAGGGGTTCGTACCGTCGATGATTCGTAGACATGGCTTCACCGGGCCATGCGAAACCTCCGCGCCACCAGGCACCGCCCGGTGGGTCACAGAGTGCTGATTTTGCTGTTGCGTTGGTCACTCAGTTGGGGGATGTTGGGGGTCCTGGCCTGCCGGCCATGTGTCACCAATTTGGGGCGTGTTCTTGGAATGCTTCCTCATTCAAAGTCCGGGCCCTTCCGACGCCAATCGTGGGACAGGCCGTGGTCTTCGGAGGGCTACCGGAGCTATATGCCACCTTACGGGGAGCACATCGAGGGCATTCAGCGACTCCGGACCCCTGGCTACTTTGCCTTCTCAGGAGAGGCGCATTGCTTTCCCTCGGTTCTTTGGGCGAGAGTGGAAGCTCCAGAAAGCAACGGGCTTAACGGGCTCACCCGAACCATACACATCTCCCTGTCATGAAGCACACACACACACCAGATTGTGGCTGTGCCTACCGAAGATTCTATAGTTGAATGGATGCTCATCAGGTTGGGCTGGAAGACAAACGGCTGCAGGGTTTTAGATGATATAACTCTTTTCGTCACTTAGATTTGTTAATCGCAGCGGTTTTACTTGCATTTTGTCGTTGCCAGTCAACCATTTGCCATCGAATCCAATCAGTCTCTGCCATTTCCCTGGTCGACGCCAACTTCGGACTTCCTGCGCTAGGAGCCACCGCCGGGTCCGCGGATTTGTTCCTCGCGCAGCTCGAGGGTTCTACGAGCGGTGCTGTGGGCGGCGCTGCGGGCAAGGCGGGTCCGAAGTCCAAACTGCCTCGCAGGCAATTCCAAGATGGCGGGGGGGGGGAGCTTGCGGATTTGCCTTTGCGCAAGCGCATCATTGTGGGGCCCCGCCCTATCGCATTGTTTGAGGCAGTATTGGCTACCAAGTGGAGGGACAACTACCCTTGCAGTATACTCCCCGTTTTGCAAAGCTGTGCACCTGCATGTTTGTGGGAGCTGTTTGAAGCAAGTGATTGGACAAACTCCTCACTGAAGGCTCGTCGTTGCTCATGCTTGTGCCAGGCCTGGGAAGATGCATCGCGCTCCTCCAAACATGTTCATGTCCTATTGCAGCTAAGCATCATATAATTTTAGTAGATGGCTCAACACACAGCTTCTGGTTGAACAATGAACTACGGAACGAGGGTTTGCCAACGTTCTACCTTCTGCCAAGATCTTGGCAGCGACGCTGGAGCAATTATCTCTCAGCGCACACATTTCTGGGTTGGATTGGTTTGGCAGCTGATTGTTCAAGGCGCAGCAGTCGGATACCCTCTTCCAATCATGGAAGTGGACGTTTGGGGGGGGGGGGCAGCCTCCAGTACCACTTCGCACTCGTTTCATTGCGGCTTATTGTCGTCTTCAGGCATGCTCTTGTTTGCTCATGTTTGCACCAGCTTGAAGGGTTGGCATGGGATGGATCCTCCCTCGGAGCAAGTTCGTTTTGGCAATGTTCATGGGTTTACACGTGGCAGGTGGTGAAGAGGGTGACGCTGGACACCGTCCTCACACATGCCGGAGGTTTCCAGGTGCTCGGGATTCTTTTGCCCTGTGATCAAGCATTGGGGGCACCCTTGTGCCTGCTCCACATGACCAAAAGCCGTTGTTGGGAATGGTCCTAGGTTCTCGCCGACGGAACATGTTGCAGGTCAGTTCAACCAATCCGCTGCCAGATTAATCCACCATTGCAACCCGATAGCTTGGCTTCAACTGATGCTGATGGCTTGCATAGAAATGATTTTGTCATCAACATGTTTCATCACTCACCGTTGCACCCGTTTGCATGTCCCCATATTGTACATTCCTTGCCCATGTCATCTATCCTGCCCGGCTTCCTGTGCTTGAGAAATCCCGGCTCACTTGAGGCAAAACGACTCGCGAAGAGTGAGCTCCAGGTTTTCAGGCGATACCGAAGAAGGCATCCAAACTTGTGCGATTTGCTTTCGGCAGTCAACTTACGTCTGGGACTCAGGGCCCAGAATCACGCAAAGACATTCTCGTGTTAACCCAAAGCAAGCAATGGGCGCACAAGGTCTTCCCTTCTCCGGTGCTTCAAGCGCAACAGATCAGGAGTTTTCACACGTGAAGATGCGCTTTGCAACATCGCAACAGTCAGATTATCGATCTTGAGGACATGTCTACACTTACCCAAATGAGTGTTAAATCAATGCACATGTCTGCTTCAGCACACTCTCTAGTATGCATGCTTTTCGACCGGAAATTGGGCACATGTCTTCATGCCGCACTTATCATCTTGTGGTTTGACTGCTCTGTCTGATTCTGCGTTCCCTCCATTTCAGCTTCAGCACCTCCCGGCACTTCGGCCTGTGTGCTACTTTGCCACCCACCGTTCTGCAGTGAAACCTCATGACATGATGCAAACGGAGCATGAATAATACTGTCCAAGGTCCTGCGTCTATCCCCAACAACTTCAGTCCGTTGACCCCTAGCCGGGCTGAGCCATCAGTTGTGGCCGTTACCTGGATGAGGAAATGGTTTTGGAGGGTCCCCTTTAGACCTAACGTAGATTCAACTGAAATCCTGTCCGCCATCCTCCAAAGCAAGAATGTGCTATTTGCTTGCGCGGGCCCATCAGGTGAGCGGGGACTTACTAGCCATCGGGCTGGAGGCTCAGTGCACGCCCATGGAGCGAACTTTTATGACTTGCAGGACCGCGGCTTCCGCGAATCGGTTCTCCGATTTGACTTTCGTTGGGCGTGTCTTTCTGTTTGTAGTTGGAACCCGTTTTGGTTTGTGTTTAGCTGGGAGGCAAAACCAAAACCACCATTTTTTCCTGATGTTGCAATCATTGTTTCCATTTTCAAGTTGAAGGTGATTTCATGGCATGTTTTTTGCCACTGCCCACAGGTCTGATTTTGTCTCCCGCCCACTAGAAGCTACGAAGCCCAAAATCTAGGTGGTGGCAAGCCAGGCAACTTTCTAGCCAAAATGGTCGATTCTCCTCGCAGCATCGGTATGCTTGGACTGTGTATAGAGAGATTGATACGCTTCTTTGCACTGGCATTACAGCTGTGCTGCGGCTTCAAGCATGTTCGTGACCATTGGTTGCTCTTTGGCTCTACCTTCAACCTTTTCAACTTATGGAAAATCATGTTCCTCCTCACGAACCAGAAAACATAGCATTTGAGCTTTGTCAACGCCCCACCCGATTTGCATGGATATCCCGACCACATGTGTTGGTGCAGCTTGCTGCCACTTGTCTTTGTGTTGGCCAGCAACAGATCCCTGCTGCGCCACTTGTCGATGGCTTCCTTAGGCTTTCCTAGCGATGACTATACTTAGTTCTGATCATCATCTTTATCATCTTTATCATCTTCATCGTCGTCGTGATCATCATTATCGGAGCCTTCACCGTACGAGCATTTCCTCTAGTGCCGGAAGACTTCAGGAGATAAGTCCCTTGCCCAGGAAGCAGTCGGAGGTGCGCTTCTACGACGTGAGCGATCCTTTGGATCCCAAGCGTTTGGGCAGCTTTATAGACCGCCCTGGGCAGTCTGCGGGCGCTGTGGGGATTGTGCAGCAGCAGAATGGCAAGTGGCTGGCGCTGGTGGGAGACGGCGATAACAACAACATCGACCCTTGGGAGTGAGGAGAGGGTAATGGGGTAATTATTTTTTTCTTCTTCTGGCAACATACTTCCTTGCCGCAGATCCAATACTAGTTTCTCCATCTCTTGAACGGGTGTCATTGCAGAGCAAGCCAGCATGTTGGGAGGTAGTATGTTCGGGGCTGGACACCTCAATCAGGACTGGTTTGAACATAGGATGTTGATTGTTCTCGCGGGCTGTATATGAGTAACTTCTCGTAGTTTTTGGGATGAAACATGGAAGGCGATAACGTGAAGCCAAAGGGTCCTTTTTGACACATTCTCATGCGAGGTTCAGTCAACATATCCGAAAAGAACATGGTGCCTAGTGTCTGAATAGATACGCACCGTGGCCTGTCAAATCTGTGGTGGGAGAAGGACAGCTAGAGATCCATCCCGAAAGATGTTCTGCAAGACGAGGGGGCCTGTCGCGGCCTCCTCATATTGCAACTAAGCACCCTTTTTGACATGTGCTCCACGATACCAAGTTTGATTACCACCTGTTGGTTGGCTTTCTGGTTCTCTTCTGTCACTCCATTGGTCGATCCACGGGGCCTTTGGCACGTAGAATTTCCTTTAGAGATGCCGTGCTACGTCTAAGGATATGTATGTGCAACAGGAGGATGGATCTTGGAAGCTTTCAGCGTCATGGAACAAGGGCGAGCTGTTGATCAATGCAGGCGTCAGCGGTGGCTACAAGTCCTACCAATCCATGAACCTCATACTTCAGCAAGATGGCAAGATATTCATGGTCTGTGCGGCCCGATCCTCCATGGACGCTCGCCGGAATCTGTGCAGTAGCACAGTCTTGGATGATAGAGGTCATCAGGCATACTCATGACATTGCCATCTGAACAGGACAGACCCCAATTCTTTGCCTCCTGCCTTTTCGTCAACCGTCAACGGCTTGTTTGGTTGTTTGACCGTGAATGAATCTGGCTTCATAGGGCCCAAAAGAGATCGGCGTGTCTTTTACCGGGGAATCTGCTTGTGGTTGGCTTTAAGCGCACAAATCCAGACACTGCTCAGGTGGGAGGGGCAGACTATTTTGACCTCTTCTCCGTTCAGCCTACTGGGTCTGGTCGCGCTACGGTGACGATGGTGGCCTCAAAGCACGTGACTTGCCACGGCTGCGCCCTAGCTTGAATTTGAAACGGTCTCATACAAACAATGGCGATCCTGCCATTTGGCTTTGGATCTTCACCAAACGTCGTGCAATCAAGATAACACCTGGACAACCCCTGAAAGTGGACACCTTCAGTCAAAGATGGTCTTGCCAATTTTTGCCGCAGTTGCCAGGGTTTCTATGATGCATTCTGCATGTGAAAAGAATCATCACGCTTGCTACATGGTTGAGTGGCGCCGGCACGGGCAAAGCAACCTGTGGCTGGCTGGGTGGGTGGGTGGCAGCGGTTGCTCGGGCTTCGGCTCCCGCGCATCGAACAGCTCGGCCGCGGGGTTGCTTCGAGGTGACTTCGGGGCCGCAGGGGCCGTGTACGTGGACTCCAGCCGCAGGCAGCTCCGGACACGGGGTGTTGAGGTCAAGGCTTGAGATGAGCTTCCCGCGATGTCTGATTCGGCAAGTGATGCTTGAGTGATCTTGGTTTGGATGAAGATTGGAAGACCCCGGGCGGAATGGGCCAATTTTACTTGGATTTCTGATTTCCAACCCTAGGTCCCTTTGACCCAAACCTTTGAGTGGTTTGGATTTGAAGGGTTTTCTGAGCAGAAAATTGTGACGATTGCAATGCTGCCGGTGAATTGGCTGGCCAGCATGGTTTCCCGCACATGAATTCCGATTTGTGTAGACTCTGAGCAAAGCTGAAAAGAAGTGCGCTCAACATGTCACAACATGGCTGACATTGTTGGACTTCAAGAATGGTGCCTTCTTTTCTCTCCAAATCTTTGCGGATTGGGATGTTTGCTGCTTGCGTGGCCGCAAACAGAACACTTCTGTGACTTACCAATGGAGTAGTGGTGCTGGTTAAGCACCGCCGGCTAGCAAGGCTCTTGGGCTACGGCTCCTCCTGGCTGCCCAGCGCCTCAGCCACCAGTTTGCCGACACCGGGCAGCACCATCTTCGTGAACGAGTTCTGACCGACGTCCTTAGTGCTTCTGAAGGCACAGCCACGGGTCAGGACGTAGGACCACCTGGTCACAAGTTGTGGGCTGCGGCTTCCCTCTGGCTCTGAAGTGACACAAGCGGCACGTGAGGATGGCGAGCTTACCAGAGCTTGCCGCGTTTTAATCAGACTTTTGGTGGGTCTTCCCTATTTTCCCACAGCTTTGAGATGAGTTTTTGGGGGTCTAAGCTTGGTCCACGTCTCAAGAAACTCCCGGGGTCGCCTTTGAAAGAAGTTGATCTCACGTCTCAAGGTTGCACCAGGCCTTCCCCTCTCATCTCATGGCTTCGTGCTTGGTTTGTCCCGGTGGCTGATAGCAGTGGGTCCAACATGCTGTTTCTTACGTAGCAAATGGGCTGGACATGCGCAGCAGGACCTCAGGCAAAAAAAACAGCGGCGTACGGCTGCTTGGTCTTGTACCGGGCGCAAACAAACGCAGTCGGCTCCGCTATCATCCACTTTAGAGATATTAGTAGGGATTGTCGCGGAATCGCGACGCGGACTTGGGCCAAAAGTGCTCGGAGAAAATGGCCGGCGAGCTTCTCGCGATGCGGTGGTTTTCCTGTGCATTGGGTGAGATGCATGTTGTACCTCCTTACCTCCCTGAGAAGCAAAGTGAGGCCTCGGCAAAAGCAAGCCACATGGGGAATATACTTGCGAGGTTGCTGGACGCCGCTTGTTTTCGGATATCGTGCAGGGGCTGTTTTGTTCCACCTTTACCCCTTTCCCCCTCTTTGGAACTGCCAACTTGCTGCAGGGCTCCAGTCGAAGGGCCTGTTGCTCGCTGTGGCAAGTACTCAGCTAGCAGTTGCGCCACTGGTTTGCGGAGAAATTCACTTAAAACCCTGAGCATTTGCCAGTGCGGAAGAATGGTGTCTGACTTTTTGCCACTTTGTGGAGCTGCAAACTTGCGTTGGGTGTGCCTCATCTAGAGAATCCCAGTCGAGTCAATTTGGCACCATGCCCGAAGAGACTGGTATACTATGGGATGCCGCAAAGGCTCTCATATACCAGAAAATGGATGGACACCTGGTGTGAGAGCAGTGCGAACCGCGTGAGAGGGCGTTTTGGAGGCTAGGTTCCTAGGGCAATCACGGGTTCGCATGGAAGAGAGTGTACGAGTTTCGAGCGTGGGCTTTTGTTGATTGACACTCAACCTCAAACCAAAAGCAAAGAGGGGAGAAGAGAGGGGGGTTGAGATGCGTTGCAAACAACTGCAGCGCTCTTGGTAAGTACTTGGCATCCGGCTCTCAAAGTCTTGGCGCCCGGTTGTGGCCCCTCTGGCAGCTGGGGCTTGGCAAGACCCATGACCCAGCCTATCACTGCACATGGCTTTTAGTTTGGGTCCCTCTTTGTCGGATTGGATGCCCATTTCAGTTCATGCAAGACCCTGGCTCTTGACGTGAATTGGAGCTTGGACACAGGGAGAGCTGCCTGCTGTGTCTTGTGTCTAGACACCCTCGAAGCTCCTGCAAAGGAGTACCTCCATCACTCGAGCAGCGCAAAGGGCAGACTTGCATTATTGGCTGCAAGTAAGCTATAGCCAACCCGGAACTTCCTCCACAATGTCTTGAGATGCATCTGGAATTGGTGAGAAACAACCAAAGGCGCGCGCGTGCAAATCAGCACAGCGTGAATACCTAGGTTGACCAGTACCTTTCCAGGCGCCGTGACCCGCTGATGTGGATGTAGGTGACTTTGGGCTGAGCAGTCATTTTCCGGGTACACTGGGGCGTGCCTGAAAACTGACCAGCGTTTGAGCCAGACCCCGACGCCGAGTTCGCATTAGGTCCGGATCGCTCTGAGTGTGGCGCTGCAGTTGCTGCGGCAGGGCAAGGTCAAGGACTGGAGGAACTTGGCAGGTTTGGTCGCGGCTCGGTGTCTTGGTGCAGAACCGGTCTTCGAATCTTGGGGTAGCTATTCGGTCTTCTGACTGGGGCGCGGGGGTGGTCGAGATGTTTTCGCTGTGATTGGTTTTGTTCTAGAATGGGATTCACCTATACGTGCCGGTGTGAACCGAATGAATTTTGTGGACTCCTGAATAATGGCTTTGATGAGCACTCCTGTGCAGGGAAGCATCACGATCTCACAAGCCGGGGGGGGGGGGGGCTCCGGAGACTCAGTCGTCACAGGAGAGGCTGTGACGTTTGTAGTTCATGTCAGAGTTCAGTCGAGGTTTTGTCAATTGAGAGCCAATGCCAGACTGGTGAGACACAAGTGCATGGTTTCCATTGAGGTAGACATTCACGCCATCACCACCTTGAAAACAGGTTCACACATGGCCTCAAACGGGCCTTGCTTTTCTTTGGGCTTCCGTGGCTCGAACCGCATCCAGCATTAGAATCAACCACGATCCAGGGCATTACACACCTCTTCTACCGACCTCAGCCTCATCAATGAAGGTTCCCTTTGGGCGGTTCAGAGCCCGTTGCAGGAGCTAATTTACAGCGAGGGCGGCTCGCTGATGCTGGCCGAGAAGGCCAGGGCTTCAGAACATCAGAAACACACTGTGCATGAAATCCAAGGCCGCAACAAAAAGCAACAAGCCAACAAGCGAACTGGACCCGAGCCAAGCCTCTCTCTGGCCTTTGGGTCCCTTTTTTTGTTTGGTGTGTGCGTGCGTGCGTGCGTGCGTGCGTGCGTGCGTGCCTGCGTGCGTGCGTGCGTGCGTGCCTGCGTGCGTGCGTGCGTGCGTGCGTGCGTGCGTGCGTGCGTGCGTGCGTGGGTGTGTGTGTGTGTGTGGGTGTGTCGTTTTTGAGGGCTGAGGGAACATGCACAGGGACACCCGCTCGTGGACCAAAGGCCGGGGGCCGCTTCATCTCGGAGCTGGTGCCTGGCAGCCAGGCGATGCGATGCCGACCTGGGGGAGGGGGTGCCCAAGGCAGCTTCGGCCCTGGTGTTCCTTTAAAGGGCTGTCGAAAATAGCTGCCCAAAATGGAACCTTGTCAAATGGAGCCAAAGACCTAAAACCTGCGTTTTTTTTCTTTTCTTTTTTTTTTCCTGGTGGCTTAATTTGACCCACAATACACATCTGAAAAGATCTGAAAAGGGTTTGGTTGTTTTCTTCTAGCAGGGAGACTCAGAGGACATTGGCATTTGCGGGGAGGGTCTGGAGGGACATACCGGCTCAGCGTTGAGGGAGTCCGGCGGTTGTTTTTGAGAATTCGACCTATCTGCAATCAGCCTCAATGAGTGGTTTCCCTTTGTCTTCCATTTGCAACCCAGCCAAATAGGGGCATGCTAAATCCAACCCTCAAACCTCTCCACAGGACCACCAGAAAAGAATTGTCAAGGACGGCTTTCGAGTTGTTCAGCGCCAGCACCGGGTGCGAAATTCTGAGACGCCATAGCTCTAGGGGTAGCTTCCCCATTCTTTCCAGGGATCCTTCTTTCTAGAAAACCACCAAAAACCCAAAACCCTGGGGAAGCAGCTGGTTGTTGAAAAGAACGATGGTTGAAAAGAATGGGGAATCAACTAGAATAGCAGCAGATTCAGACGGGCGAAGCTCCGGCAGCTATAGGCCGCGGTCTTCGAGGTGGCGGACCGGGCGAAGGTGGCCATGCATCTGGCGAAGCCCAGCAAGCCCTTCTCCCAGGCCGAAGGGGGGGGGGGTGGCGGGTGGCGGGTGGCGGGTGAGCAGAGCGCACCAAGGGTTGGAATGGGTTGGGGAATTTTCCTGTTTGGGGGGTTTGTAGAGTTTTGACCCCTGACTTGGGAGGTTTGCAAATCAATCCAACATTTCTCCCCCGAAAGCCAGGTTTCGAGTTCTGTCCAAATTGGTCGCAGCCCAAGGATTGACTTGTACCCACAGGGAGCCGTGGCAAGAACACCGTGTTCGCGGTTTCACCTAAGCACGGCAAAGCTTTGGTTTTGCTGGAGACATCGAGAGGCAGCTTTTACTACCCATCAACAGCAACCTTTTCTCCGAACCTTCCAGAAACACATCTAACACCAGTCTTCGGTACTGGAGAGGCATGACCATCAGGCCCATGCCTCCTGAAGCACAAGTAGCTGGCCCTTCTGCCGGCTCAACGCTGGAAGCAATTTTGGCAGTGTCGTTTTGAATGTCTGCCATTTTTCTGACTGCCCTGTCCATTTCTGCCGGCAGGCTGAAGATAGTCAAGTTTGGGGCTGTCAGAAGTAGTTGCGCACCAAACCGATATGGCCAGACCCTCCTTGCCAGGTCTTTGCCTTCGCCATGCCGCTGATCTTCCTTTTTGTGTGGTACCAGGTGGCTAAGCCGGGCACCTTGGTGGCTTTTCCCTCAGACATAGGGGTCATGTTGACCCCGGATTCCTAAACCTGTCCTATGAATAGGGAGGTGTTCCCCCAAAGTGATGAACCCGGGACAGCCCCATTTGATCAACCAGGGATGTATGAAAATGCGCCGTGGAAGATTCGCTTTATCTGAGACAATGGGCCTGTGCACATGTGCCGAAAAAGAGGGACGCCCATCAAACTACAGCCTTGTCAGGCCAATTTTGGGTACTTGAGCACCGAAAGAAACAAAGGGCGCTTGGGCCAGCGGTGCAAGTCCTCGAGCCAACTCATCCCTGTGCATATATAGACAGTGGTCCAGCGGGTCGGCCTCTTTCGAGGCACCGCTTGCACGGTCACATATTTCGATCTTGGCTAAGGCCGTACGGCCGGACATTCGCTTGCATCCGCCAGCTTTCACGGGCGAAGGCCGGTTTTGGTTGATCCTGGGCTTAGGCTCTGAAGATCGGCCATGGCGAAAGCCCCGAGCAACTCTTGGCTGACCAGGAAACTATGCCCTCTGCTATCTGGCACAGGCCTACGACCACAAACAAACCATAAAACATATGAACCACATATGACCACAGATTCAGCGGCGTTGCGGACGCACGGGTTTATGTTGCCTGCGGAGGCTGACCGGGTCTCGCATTTAGTCTGTGCTGAACCTTGTATGCAGCACAGTCCTCTCAAGGGTCGAATGCTCAAAGATCAAGTTTCGTGTGCAGCATTTGCCCTCCATTGCTGATGGACTTTGCAGCACTATTAGATGACCTGGTTGCTGTAAACAATGCCGCTAACACAATGTGGCTGCTTTTGATTGTGTGCATACAAAGCGGTGGCCGTGTTTGCGATGGTCGGATGTCTAAGTTTTTGCTAGTGGGAGGGCGCTCTTAGTGCTCGAGCCCTTGTTCTTGTTGGCGTCGTTGGTCTAGGTCAGTCAGC